TACTCTTGCTTTAAATGGCCATAATACCGACATGGACATGAGTGCACATTTTATCATCCGTGTCCATGGCATTTCACCAACGGCAACACTCCATACCTACAAACCCAAGACTTCCGAACACAATATCGTACACCTACTGCAATCCTCTACCCATCAATCCTGCCTTCTACACACCTAAAACGTATCACGTAATGTTTGCCAACGCGTGGATCAGCACTGCCGTTCCACCCAACCAACATTCATCGTCACTCACATAGTAAAAACCTGTTCACTAATTGCACCTTATTGTTACTGTACGAAGGGCACACGTGCACAACTCTCTACAGGCTCCTCAACTCCACCACCGAGTACCTCACCTTCTCCACTTTCTTGTGCAGCTGCTGGCACCCTGTAAGTTTGCATGTTCCCGCCCCCTCATAGTACCTCACATATGCGTACCCCTTCCACTCCCCATCAAGGTCAACCGCCCTGAAGATGCACAAACATCTTGCATACCAGCCCCCCTTCTTGTTGTTCAGCAGTGCCACGTCCGAATACCACCTCTCTCGAGGAGAAGCCTTTACAAATGTCCCTTTGGCCACCAGCTCTCCTCCTCTTGTGCGCAGAATGGCCACCGCCGTGTGCACCTGTCAGACTAGAGTACCCAATCCAACATCACATAACATCATGAGTGCATTGACCCAACTCCTTGAACTCATCTGACATCCCCTTCATCTCGTCTCCCAGTGCGGCGATGTACTCATTGTACACCGGATCCGTCACTCCACCTATGCACATGGTTCGATACCTCTTTGTAAGCACGGGATTCCTCGTCTTGATTGCCTGCATGTCACGCTCTCATTCCCACAACAAACCGCACACTGTTTGAGGCACGATTCGTCCATGGTAAACCGCACTAAAGGACTACTCTCAATGCCCAGCATGGTACCACATGCACCCTTACGCACCTCGCGCAAAGCGGACGCGTACTGTCGCCCACCCCCCGCGTCTGCCGCCACCTCACGGTACACCTCTCGCTGCACCTCCTCCTCCACAATGCGCCGTGGTATGTCGCTCCAGTTGCTCCCTCTTACTGGACCCTTAACCGTGCCCTTGTGCGTGCGCTCCCACATTTCAGTGGAATAGTGGTGCGGCATCCCACGGTGCACAACGTTGTCCAGTAAATGCCTGATCATGTGTATCTTTGGGAGTCTCCAGTGGGACGCCTGCGTTGGAAATGCTCTCGGTAGCAACTCCACCAACCTGCCTACGCGTCCACGATAACACACACCACGCGATACATCATCGTGTGTTACACCACATTGGCCGCACAAACAATTAGCATACGCTCTCATTCCCCCCTCCAAACATCCGGAATATGCATATATGTACTCATGCTATCGCATGCTGACGGGCAATCGCAATTGTTGTGTGAGTGTGCCTGTCCACCCCCAGAAAGGCCTTGTAAAACACGGCAAACAGCCTGAACGCTTTGACCTGCAAAGCACGCAGCTCTCCCTCTTTTCCACCCTTCAGCGCACTCTCGTCAGCCACCAATATCGGCATTATCTGCATCATGCTCCTCTGCTCGAACGCAGCGTAGTTTGCGCCGAAACAAAAGAACGATGAGCCCCCTGGGATTCGGAGGAGAACGCTAGGCGTGATTCCCTTGAACTCCTTCTTGCGGCTGCGCACATACATGGTTCCAGGTGGTCATCTGGTGGCACACAGGCTGTGCTACTACCCAACTAACCCACCCATGGTAGAGCATGTCCCGCTGGCACACCCAACCACACCAAGCTCACCGTTCAAGTAGCCTCATCTCAACCTTTCCAAGCAGTTCGATGTAGGTGTCCATCATGTGGATCAGCACACCGGAGTCCAGCACATGCAGTGTGTCTGCCAGGCATGCCAGGTACACGTTGCCCCACTCTGTGTCTGCGAAATTCCACCTGTGAAGCACACACTGCATGGTCCAACCGAAGACACAATGCTGTTAAAGAGTTCACCGCGTATTACAAGCCAGCAAACTACCCATCGGCATAACACACCTCGATCGGATGGGTTGACCATAACTTCTGTAGGTCGTCAGCCTCCCCTTTCTTCTTACACTCCAGTATCTGGCGGACAATGTCCCTCTACTTCTCTGGGGTACGTGGATCGGCATTCCCCACCATCATGGTCAACTCCCCCTTGTCTGCATAGCAGTTAGCGCATGGCCGATGTGACCCTTTCTGAAGAGTCGCAGATGCTCTGCTGGATTCCGGGAAGTCGGCAGGGTATCCGTACAAGCAAGGGACCGCCTTGTGCACCTTCCCATCCGCATCTGTGCAGTAGAAGAAGCGAACTGGAGCGCTGCACAGTGTAGTGATGCACACATGGTATGCAGTTAGTCGATGGAACATGTACATTACTCAACCCACATTGCCTACTTGCTGGGGCGCCCCCCAGCCCCTTGCAATCGTAGCGTACTCCTCCCCACCCCCCTCCCCTCCAAGTACCTTGCAGACTCTCGTATGATGGGCGCGAGGATGATCTTTAGTGCCTCCTGGAAAACGCGCGTCTTCTCCGTAGGAGATGCCCACTCAGGTGGGAATGGAAGCACCGCCGCCAATGTGTGCCCAGGCTCCACTCCACGCAATTCCTCTGGTATGTTAATAAGTGAAATGAGCACCGGCCACGCGTTCCTCCGTCCATTCCGTGATGTCTGCGTGCTATCACTGTATATCAACACGCCTAGAATGAGTGCCTCTTCGTCATTAATCTCCTTCTGCAATGTAGAACGCACTGAATAGTGAGATGTGGTTATTCGAATGCATCTAGCATGTTCTGCTGCACACATGAAATAGGGACAGGCTGACCGATTCTCGTACCTGAGCAGAGTGCATCCAATCACCCGTCTCAGGGCCTTCAAAAACCCTCTCGTTATTCTTCTTTCGATGAATCTTCCTTGGTTTCCAAACGAACCCCTTCTTCGATGAGAACGTTCGCACCAGCTTCTTCAAAATCTGCGGGCATCGCGTTAGAATCAAGTGTGAGCGCGTGTATTCCATGGAAATGCATACGGCCGACACTACATTACGACATCCGTAGCTGCGTTGGCCTCCCATTACGAACCAGCTCTGTGTCGCGGAAGTGCAGAAGCAGCTTTATTTGCATTCCTTTGGGGCCTTGCACCACTATCTCCTCCGTTTTCCACGGGACCATGTCGGCTGGAGCTCGCGCCATGCCCCAGCGTCGCACGTCCACCCAGTTGCGCCATCGTCTGAGTGCCCGTTGGTTGAAGCGCGGGTTGCGGAAAATGTGCAGCAGACGGTTCACTTCCCTGTGCAAAAGATCGGCGTCACGGAAGAATAGGTACAACTCCGTCAGTGTATCAAAGATCTCCTTCCTTTCGCTGTCTTCAGAGGACTCGGCAGGTTCGCCGTCAGGTCGTGTATCCACGTCTCCAACAAGGCTAACTTCGGGAATTGAAGCTGTTGGAGCAGCAGAAACAAAACTGCCATCGTTATTTTTAAGCCGGGATGCCAGTGGTGTGTTAGGTCTACTCTCTCCGTCACAGGCAATGGCTTCCAAATATGCCGCCCACAAAAGACTCTCTCGTTTCCTCTTCAACTCCTCGCGACAAATTGCCCCATTAGCGACATGCAACTGTAACCTGCTGTCGTCATTAAACACCGTCTCGCACACCATGCAACTGTTCCCCGTCATCCTAGAGCCAAGAAACCCTAGCTGGGCCAGCAGTAGGACCACTGCTGAGTACCTCAGGTACACTCTAATACATCGCATGCGGTGTCGCATCACACCCGGACATCGCATGCGATGTTGCGCCAACGGTGTCGACCATTGGGTATATACATGACGTTCGCACCAGCTGGACATTGTAGGCCAGGGTTACGCCTTGCTCTCCCCTTCCTTCCGAATAGTGCCATTGTCGCGAGATCCCATAGTTGCTGTGCGCACCCAGTCATCCCCTCCGTGCTCACATATTAATCTCCCTTCGTCTTCCGAATGCCTGTCAGTGTTCGTTCATGATGGCGAGACATAAGCAGTTGGTCTCTAAACGCAACCGGTTCTATGAACCAGAGACTAGCAGCAGCTCCGATGACCAAGATGCTGCCCCGCCCATCACCAGATCCAGGTCGTCGAACAAGGCCGACAATAGGGCTCAGAAGTTCGCGAATCATGTGGTGGAAAAGGCGCGAGAGGTGGTGCCGGACGACTTGGTGGCCACGATCGCCCGGAATTATGCGAAATCATCGTACAGCAACATGAAGCTCATGAATCACCGCGGTGTCGGATGTGAAGTGGATAAGGACGACCTCATGTCCATAAAGGACGATCAGTGGATTACTGATGGTGTGATCGAATTCCACAACGTGTAAGTGTCGTTCCGACAGTCACACCCCTGACGCGACATGTTGCGCGATTATTACGGATCTCGCGGACCCTGATGTGCTGATATGAACTTTTTCGTGCACTCGACAGGCTGCTTAGCATCAGGAAGCCAAAGCTTTGTGATGGGAAGACATGGGCCGCTATAGACTGCAAGGCTTACACATAGACGAATGACTATGGAGCGCCGGTAACGCTGGGAAACGGGCGGCCGCTTCTGGAACACGATTATTTGGCGATCCCGGTGCTCGAGTCATGAGTATCTTGCATAAAGTGCTTGCGAGTGGTTTCTGTTGTGAGTCGGGGTGTACTGTCTAACAACTAAACTGTTTAACCCCCCTCATGTTGAGCGTAGTGAACACTATTCCCTCGTCATCGCTATAGGTCCATCGGTGCTCACCAAGTCATCGAAGTCAACGGGCAAGGAGCGCATGACGTTGGTCTTGCTGGACAGTTCCATCAAGAATCGGAATACCCGCAAGATGTTGCAGGAACCAAGCTGTGAGTCATGGTTTTAATGACAATGTCTCCAGATGTCGTACATGGTCGGTATTTAAAAACGCCTCTGGCCTCTTGCGTGCAGCGTGCTGTCCGAACTCGCCAAGGCGAGTAACCCAAACGCGAACATGGAGTTTGTGGACAAGATGCTGACGGAGGCGGACTGCATCATTCTACGGGTGAGCATGCAACCGGAATCTGTGAATACCAATGTGCAGTAAGCGGTCGCAAGTATACTGATTTCTAACTCGCATATGCGGTCCCGTATTTGCAGGAGGATAAGCTGCCACAGCAGCCTAACAAGGAGGACAGTGGGATTTTTGTTTGTCAGTACCTCAAGACCCTGGTGAATACCGACTTCACCACGGTTTTGTACGGCCTCTGGTTCCAGGGTGTGACACCGCACCAATACAGGCGGGAGATGCGGCGCGACTTGTGTGCACACGCGTGCGGAGATCTTATTAAATAGCTGGCGAACCTGGGGATTTAAATCCCCCCGCAGGACGAAGGCCGGGTTACCGATGAGGGGGCAGTGGTGCAGGAGAGGAACGCTGCTATGGGAGAGGGGAGGCAAGCTCCGGTCACTCGCCCTGTGGAGGACGCACGGGTTACGGAGATGATGAGGCGACTGGCGACATTGAATAATGATGTGAGGTACCTGGACGCCAGCTTCACCGTACTCGCCAACTTTGTAGGGCTGAGGCGGGACGAGGTGGTGACAGCTGCAACCCAACTACTGCTGCATGGGGGTCACGCGGGGACCGGCGTGAAAGCAGAGGCGGGTGGCACCAAGAATGCTCCACGCACTCCACAGCGTCCGTCTGCACATAAGGGGCGGGATGACAGCAGTCCTGAGGAGGATGGCGTGCGCAATGCCACCCGGGTTGTGCTGGCCTCCACGTTCGCTGCATGTGAGCCGACATCGACCTTGCTGCAGAACCCGCACCTTGCGCACGGGACCATACCTCACTGGATGTTCACGCGTGGGATGCACCAGTTTGGGGCGGGTGTGCCAGCTGGAGCTGGCGTGTGGGGAGACACGCGAGGGAAGGAGACGGTGAAGGCCGAAGAGGAGGAGGATCTCGTGTCAGACATAGACGATGAGGAGGATGATGACGAAGCGTGTGCCTCCAAATACACGGGTGTGAAGTTGGATAAAGCGTCCGGCAAGTACGGCATGAAGATCCTGATTAAGGAAGGTGGAAAGTGTAAGCAGCAGCGGCTGGGAGCGTACACCACGGAGGAAGAGGGGGCGTTCGCGTACGCCGCAGGTGCGTTCGTGCTGAGGCCACGTGACAAGATACCCAACACGGTCAGCCTATCAGCCGCAGAGAAGGCGATGCTGCGTGGTTGCACCAAAGAAGATTTGCAGATCCTGGTGGAAGCGCGGAAGTGGTGGAGGTGGAGGAGCTGGCAGGAGGCGCTGGATAGCGTGAGCAGCAAGCTGAAACGTGGCAGGAAGCGTGGGGGTGCCACAGGTACATCAAAGAGGCACAGGGTGGTGGATAGCAACACCATGGCTACCAACGAACCAGAGGTCCCCGACAATGCGGAGAGTGGGGGGACGGCCCCCGTGAGCGAGCAGGGCGGGGGTGCAAAGAACAATGAGCAGGAAGAGCGAGGGGAAGACACTGGTGCACATGAGAATACGTCAGGCCCTGCTGCATAGTGGATGTATAGACAAAGCATATGGGAGACAGGTCGTGCACGTAGTTGCTAAGTTTTGTATTGCACTTGCTAATGTACAGCGCTTGATGTAGCGTGCATGTATGCATGTGTAATAAACGTTACGACGTGTGCGTACATGGTGTGACCGACATGTGTTGTAATCCGGTTGTGTAATCGTGCACTTGGTGTGCTATTTTACGAAGTGGTGTATGAAATCACTGAATACCGAGAACCGGTTTGCGAGCCTGATGGCAGCACAAACGAGGACTATGGATACGGTTATGTCAACAGGATGTGCGCAGTCTGTGATTCTGCTGTGCACACATGCATCACTAGGTACGTTGACGTGGTGTGCATCAATTCGTCGTTTCGGATTGCGCTCTTCCAGATGTGTACGTGGTAGTTTTGCCTACCAAACTTATTGTGTACACGGTGCTCCGGCGTGTTAAGAATTTGGGCCCCCAACTTTGTGTAGAAATATCGTATTGAGCGTCATTGTGAAAGCAACTCACTGCACACTTCCCTTGTGAACATGGATACCTCAATTGCTTCTGACGATACGAGGGGTGGAGGCCGGTCGCGACGTGTCTCACTCCCGCTGGCGTACCTGCGAGCGTCGTACCAGCTGACGATGCCGCGAGGTCGTCTGTCGAACGGGAAACGTGGGGCGGCCATTCCTAAGCGCCTGAGCTTAGCCAAGAAGGGAAAGGAGGTGGTGCAGCCGGAGCAAGGTATGCAGCCCGAGCATGTTGTCAAACTCATATACTATAGTCTGTGTAGGCTGTAGTGGGGTAGCTTATATTGGGTACAACACTTTAGGGTTTGGTACTTGTACTCCTCATGCTGCTCAATGCAATCATTCTCGTTTCAATTTCACATGGTATCGAGCAAGTTCCCTCGTGGGAATTGTTCCTAGGGCCCACCGTTTTTTTTTTTTTTTTCTTTCCTGCCCGGAGCGCACTCAGCTCCTGCCCGAGTCGCGCTCCCCTCTCTCTCGGCCCCTAGCGGCCCCGTCGCGCCGCCCTTACGGCCCCGTCGAGCCGCCTTCGCGGCCCCGTCGCATCGCGCTGCCCTCGCGGCTCCGTCGCGCCGCCCTTGCGGCCCCGTCGCGCCGCCTTTGCAGCACCGTCGCGTCGCGCCGCCCTCGCGGCCCCGTCGTGCCGCCCTCGCGGCCTCATCGTGCCGCCCTCGCGGCCCCTTCGCGCCGCCCTCGCGGCCCCTTCGCGTCGCCCTCGCAGCCTCTTCGAGCCGCCCTCGCGGCCCCTTCGTGCCGCCCTCGCGGCCCCGTCGCCCCACCCTCGCGGCCCCGGCGCCGCTCTTACCGGCCCCGGTGCCGCCCCTACAGGCCCCGTCGCCCTACCCTCGCGACCCCGCGGCCCCACCCTCGCGGCGCCGGTCGCCACCCTTCGTGGCCTCGCCGCCGCCCTTAGCGGCCTCGTCGCCGCCCCACCCGGCCCCGCCGCCGTCCCTTCAGCGGCTCTGCCGCCCTTCACGGCCCCGCCGTCACCACCGAGCAGCCGAGCCGCCGTTGCCGCCGAGCTGCCGAGCCGCCGAGCTTACGAGCCGCCGTTGCCGCTCTGCCGCCGAGCCGCCGTTGCCGCCGTTGCCGCCGAGCCGCCGATGCCGCCGAGCTGACGAGCCGCCGAGCCGCCGTTGTTGCCGTTGCAGCCGAGCCGCCCGAGCCGCTCTGTCCGCTACGCCCGGTCACTGCAGTCGCGGCCCTGTTCCTGCCGGCGAGCCTCGGTCCTTCTCACCTGCCTGGTAAGAGTAGCGCCTCTACCACTGCACTGCCCTTAGCCTACTGCTCGCGCTGCTAGTCTACTGCTGTCATGGCTACCCCTAGTGTCCTCGCTTTTGACGCTGAAGGTCGGGCCATTGACTTTGACATCTGGGTAGATGACCTGTAGCTTTTCCTACAGTGCGATAGGGCAGACGGTCTCTCCCTCTTTGACCTCACTTCTGGCGCCTCTCCTGCGCCTGCTGCTGACGCTGACGCCACTGTTCGCTCACAGTGGGCCACACGCGATGCTGCTGCCCGTCTTGCTGTGCGCCGCCACTTGCCTACCGCTGAGCGTGCACACTTTAGTCAGTACAAGAGAGCTAAGACCTTGTACGACGCTGTAGTTGCACGCTAGTCTTCCCTTGCCACTGCTGCACTTAGCTGCCTCATACTGCCGTACCTCTTCCCTGACCTTGCCGCTTTTCCCACAGTCGCTGACCTCATTACGCACCTTCGCACTAGTGACATTCGTTACCGCGCTGCCCTTCCTGCTGAGTTCTGCGCCAAGTGTTATGTGATGCTATCATTTGCATTCACGTCTGTCTGCCTCCCATCATGTGTTTGTGCGTCGCATGTATGAAATGAGCGTGCGCAAGAATTTGTGTTTTTCTGTGGTTTGGATTTTCTGAGTGTGTGTGAATGTTATTTGGCTTGAGCAGATATCTGAAGTGACTCCACTGCTCAAGAGCTTTCCGACGAACCAAGAATCACTTCAATCGGAGCACGAACAAGAAAGTTACGAACGTTGGAGTTCGTATGCTTTTGATATTTGGTTGTGGTGACCATGGAGAGTTGTGGGGTTGAGTCAATATGGGTTACAGACTTTTGGGGGTTGGGAAACTCGTCACTACTACTGTAGTTGCTGCCAATTGGTTGGGAGAAACCAAACCAGGTTGGCAAGTGTGGCCAAGTTGGGTTGAGGTGGATTGTGGAGGTTGGGATACTGACAAAGGTCAAAGTTGGGTTGCCTATGGGGAAGGGAATTGTGTGGCATGGAGTTTTCTTTGGTTGGGGACTCCTTGGGACCTTCCCTCTCGTCCTCTTCTTTCCTCCTACCTGGTTTAGTGCTACTCTTACTCTCTTGTGTGCAACTCTTGTGAACTTGTGAAACTATTGTGAGTGAATTTAATTTCTATGTGGCAGCATACCCCCTGGTGCGCCGAGAAGCATAACTCGAGATTTACTCCACTTTTCGATACGATTCAAATTGGGAATGATAGCCACAAACAAGGGCTATAATATACTCGAGTTTGAGACGATTCTAACAGTGCACTTTCCGTCGATAACGTTTCTTGTGAAGTCGCGGTTTCTGTCCAGAATTTCAAGCCAACGATTTTGAGAAATTAAGGCTCCTAATCTTCACAGACTCGATCCTTAGTCTCTAACAAGTGGTATCAGAGCTGATTAAGGACTTTATGAAGAGTCTACTGAAGTGTGAAGACCCTCCTAGACTCACCATGGCCTGTGGGCGTGCCTAAGTGGAGTTCTGGAGGTTGAATGTGACTTCCGCTAAGGGGAAACTCTGCCGAAATTTCGTTGGCGCCGACAGTTGTGAAGATTGTGTGGATCTACATATTGACCAGCAAAAGGGGGAGCTGAAACCTCTGATTGGGAGAAGAGGAGATGAGTCAAGGGAGTGGAGAAGCAGCTGAGAAGAAGAGTGAGCCGCCACCATCCAAGATTGAGGCATTGGATGGCTCCAACTATGAGGAATGGAGTGGGCGGATGAGGAGCGCCTTCAAGCGCTACAAGCTGCTAAAATTGGCTATGGGAGAAGAGAAGATGCCGGAGGAAGGAGATGCCCGCGATCGGTGGATTGAGCGGAGCGCGGTGCTGTACGACTTGATTCTACAGTCGGTCAACAACGACATGTTCCAGCATATCAAGGATTTGGTGGAGCTCGATGACTCGGGACCGAAGGCGTGGAAGCTGCTACGCGACGTGGTTCAACCCAACACGCTGCCGATGGTGATCGTATTGGAGAAGGAGTTGGCTGCCCTCTCCATGCGGCTGGGAGATGATGTGAAGCCGGTCCTTGACAAGATCAAGGACACCTATGCGAGGATAGCAGCGGCGGGCAGCGAAGTGTCGCAGATGCAATAGTGCACCAAGATCATCTCGGTGCTCGACAACGTTTCTTGTGAAGTCGCGGTTTCTGTCCAGAATTTCAAGCCAACGATTTTGAGAAATTTAGGCTCCTAATCTTCACACACTCGATCCTTAGTCTCTAACACCAAGAACCCCCCCCCTATGTACATCACCCTCTACTACATAGTCACCCGCCTCCCTGACACTCTTCGCCCGGTCAGGGACCACTTTCTCTCTGTTTGCCCCACCACCCTCACCGTTGACCTCCTCAAGGAGCGCCTCCTAGCAGCAGAGAAGAGCATATTTGCTGTAGGAGCCTCTCGTGGTGACCCTCGTGCCCCTGTCTTTGAGGGGTGCTCCCCCTCTCCCCTCTTGCCCTCTGTTGCCTCTGCTGCTGCAGCCGACCTCGTTGGTCTTGAGTCGGTCGGTGCGGCGTCTGTCCCTAGCGGGAGACGCTGCACTGGCAAGGGCAAGGGCTCGGGAGGAGCTAGCGGGGGCGGTGGAAGCGGCGGTGGAGGCGGTGGAGGGGGTGGGGGTGGCGGTGGGGGTGGTGGCGGGGGTGGGGGCTTCGGTGGCGGCGGTGGAGGCAGAGGCGGCGGCGGCGGTGGCGGTGGGAGCGGAGGTGGCGGAGGTGGCGACGGTGGAGGAGGTAGCGGCGGAGGAGGTGGAGCTGGTCGGGGTGGCGCTGCGTAGAGGGTCGGCTTCGGTGTGGTCAGCGCCAGCAGCAGAAGCAGCGTACTCGTGAGTTCCCTCCCCCTCAGCAGCTTCGTGAGTGGTACGCTGCACGTCAGCGAGGTGGGGGTACTGGTCCGTGTACCTACGTCCTACGCACCGGCGACCGCGCGGGTGAGCCGTGCGGGGGTTCGCACTCCACCCAGCACTGCTTTGGCCGCCTGACGGACGCTTGGCGTCACCAGTTCCCTGAGGCCACTGAGATCCCTCGCTGGGGCGAGCTGTATAGGGCGGGGGTCCCTATCTTTGATCTTGATTATGATGCTATTCTTGCTGCCATGTATGCTGTGACTATTAGTGATGAGGGTGACTGTTACTGGTGTTTTTCGCCCGACCCGGGCATTGGGACTGCTGCTCTAGGTACTGGTGAGGCTGCTGCTCTAGGAGCTGGTGAGGCTACTGCTCTAGGTGCCAGTGAGTCTGCTTCCTCAGGTGTTGGTGAGTCTGCTCTCTCAAGTACCGCGTCATCTCCGGCCTCCCACACCTTCACCCTTGACTCAGGGGCTTCCCGCTCCTTCTTTCGAGACCGCACCACACTCACGCCGCTTAGTTGGCCAGTTGCAGTCTCTCTGGCAGACCCCTCTGGGGGTCCTGTCCTTGCCCACTTCTCCACTATCCTACCGTGTCCGGCGGCCCCCTCTGGCACCTTGTCTGGTCTTTACCTCCCCTCGTTCTCTACGAACTTGGTGAGTGGTGCTGACCTACAGGATGCGGGGGTTCACCAGTTCACTCCTGCGAGCCAGCGAGTGACCCACTGCACGTGTGCTCGGACGGGCCGACACTTGGCCACGTTTACCCGTCGGCCGGGGTCGAGCCTGTACACCCTTACCACTGAGTCTCCTCCAGTCCCTGCGTCTGGTTAGGTAGCTGCGTCGGGTCAGGTGTTTGGTGCAGCGTCCAGGTCTGTTCCTGAGTCTGCCCCCTGCTCGTGTCGTCTCCTGTCTCACCAGACTCTCCTCTGGCACCACCGCCTTTGTCACCCCTCCCTGCCTCGTCTCCGAGGCATGGCCTCACGTGTCCTGATCTCTGGTCTCCCCCCTACCTGTGTTCCCTGCGTCGAGGGGCGGCAGCGTGCTACCCCTCACTCCTCCCAGTTTCCTCCGACAGAGGCCCCACTGCAGACGCTTCACATGGACGTGTGGGGCCCAGCCCGCGTCCGTGGACAGGGTCACGAGCGCTACTTCCTGCTGGTGGTTGACAACTACTCGCGTTACACCACAGTCTTCCCCTTGCGCAGCAAGGGTGATGTCACTGAGGTGTTGATCGACTGGATCCGCGCGGCTCGTCTCCAGCTCAGGAAGAGTTTCGGCTCGGACTTTCCTGTTCTGCGTCTGCACTCCGACCGAGGCGGAGAGTTCTCCTCTGACCTTCTGCGAGCCTACTGTCGTGCACGAGGCATCCGCCAGACCTTCACGCTTCCGGACTCTCCACAGCAAAATGGGATTGGTGAGCGCCGCATTGGCATGGTCATGGACGTCGCCCGTACGTCCATGGTGCATACGGCTGCCCCCCATTTTCTGTGGCCGTTTGCGGTTCGGTACGCGGCGCATCAGATCAACCTTCAGCACAGGGTCTCCATGCCGGAGACCTCCCCAGCTTTGCTGTGGACGGGGAAGGTTGACGATGCGTCTGCGTTCCGTGTCTGGGGATCTCGGGCGTTTGTCCGCGACTTGTCTGCGGACAAGCTGTCCCCTCGTGCTGCTCCCTGCGTCTTCCTTGGCTTCCCCCCCTGATGCGTCAGGGTGGCAGTTCTACCACCCCACCTCGCGCCGTGTTCTCTCCTCCCAGGACGTCAGGTTTGACTAGTCGGTTCCCTACTACCGTCTTATCCCCTACCGCACTCCGACCCTCCCCCCGCCACCGCTCTTCCTTGTGCGAGGTCCCCCCCCGGTAGGCCCCCTTCCCCCTCAGGGTCCTGCCCCCTCAGGTGTGTCCCAGGTAGACGCAGTCGAGCTTGTTGAGGTAGCTGTTGACTCTGGTGCTACTGGGGGTGCTGAGCCTGGGGGTGCTGACTCTGGTGGTGCTGGGACTGGGGATGCTGAGCGTGGGGGTGCTACGACTGGGGGTGCTGAGCCTGGGGGTGCTACGACTGGGGGTGCTGAGCCTGGGGGTTCTACGACTGGGGGTGCTGAGCCTGGGAGTGCTGCGAATGAGGGTGCTGAGCTTGGGGGTGCTACGAGTTGGGGTGGTGAGCCTGGGGGTGCGGAGCCTGAGGGTGCTGGGCCTACTCGTGTGGCGTCTGGCGGTGCTGGGCCTGGAGGTTCTCCGGGTGCTTCGTCTAGGTGGGAGCTCCTCTCTCCACAGGAAGTGCGTGAGTGGCTTGCCCGGCGGTGGAGGCGTGCTGCAGGAGCTGGAGGTTCTACTGCTGCTGAGGGTGCTGGTACCACGGGTCCCGGAGGTGCTCGTACTAGGAGTACTGGAGCTGCTGGGCCTACGAGTACTTCTGGTGCTGGAGCTGGAGCTGCTGCGTCTTCTGGTGGTCCGGGTGGAGCTGGAGCTGCTGAGGGTGTTGGCGCTGAGGGTACTGCTGGCACTTCTGGAGGTGGTCCTGCTGGTGGTGCTGCTGGTGCTGCTGGAGGTCCTGGTGCTACTGGAGCTGCTGGGGGTACTGGTGCTAGAGGTCCTGCTGGCACTGGTGCTTCTGAGGGTGCTGGAGTTGGCGCTGCTGGAGTTGGAGGTGCTGCTGGCGCTGGTGCTACCCCAGGAGGTACTGGTGCTGTCCCTGCTGTTTCTGGAGTTGCTGCGCGGCCTCGACCGTACTTCGTTTCGCTCCTTGAGTAGGTTCTTGGTTTCCCGCCTTCTACTGGTCCTCCTCCTCCCTTAGAGTGTCCACAGCCTGTCCAGTCACAGTTACAGTTACAGCTCGCCTCCCCACTGCCTGCTCCTTCTCCCTAGACTGGTCCTACTGGAGGTCTTGCTGAGCGTTGTGAGCCTGCGTCTTGTCCTGCGTTGCCTGTCCGTGCTGCTCGCGCTAGTGGTCGTGGTTCGCGTCAGCGTCCTCCCCCTGTGCCAGGTGTTGTGCCAACACATTACAGTGGCACGGTCATCGCACTCCCATTCGGCCTACAAGCCTGCTCAGCTTCTGGAATTTTGTGGGGAGGTTTGTCAACATGTGTTCTTTAAACCCTCAAAGTTTTAGAGATTTTGAAGCAGTTACCAAGGCATGACAACATTTTATGTTTCAAGACTTATGGCATCCCGGAAGTGTGTGTTACTCCTTTTTGGTAACACCCGAGTTCACCATTTCGGCTGCTGACTCGTCTACCGAGCTCTGATTGGTCCGAAATTCGGTCTGGCAGTCCTTTGCTCTGCTGTGCAGATGGTCACAAAGTTTCACAACGATCCAACATCTAAGCATTGCGTGACAGCTGCCGAAATGCACTGTTCCGTAGTCATGGTGCACTGTTGGCAGCATTTCCCTTGCCACCCTTTCATTGTTGTCATGCCAATGGTGCAGGGACAGAGAATGAGACAAGAAGTACAGGTGGTCAAGTGGGACTCTACAGCTCTCCTTTTGAGAAGTGTGGTCTTCCTGGAACCAGCTTACAAGAGGGTGCAAGTGGGAAGACAAGCTGACTCATGGTTGGCTTAACTCACAATTGGTTGCCTTGAGTACAGCTCTGAACATCCATGTGTGGTTGGCTTTGCTGACCTAGCTAGGACGTTTCCCATCCTTCTCTAGCCTTTCTCCCCTAGGACTCAACCTTCTCTGAGTTCCCAGGATGATCCCAACCCCTTAAGAGTCCCCTAGGCAATGTTGTACCTCACCTCTTCCTTGCATCAATGAGAATACACGTTTTTCAGCCAAGCTTACGTTTTTGTTCACACCGTAGCGCATACACCTTTGGTGAAAGCAAACAATACACCGTTGGAAAGCAGACACGTAAGGCTAACTGGTGTCCAAGTTTCAACCTCATGTGTTATTGGAGCTGATCGTGACGGCGTTTTGAACAGAGGCGGTTTGAAGACGTCAGATTCTGCTTAGGCGGTTTCATGGGCATCCGCGACCTCTAAGTGGACTCTTGACTACAACACCAGGCACGCACCGGATGTCTCTCCATCCGTCCACTGCTCCACTGCGTGCCCCTTTGCCTTCTCCTCCTGAGTCCTCTCTTCCTGCTCTTGCTGACCCGGAGTCGGACTCTCTTCATGCTGCCAGTCCTACTGTCACGCGTCTCCTTGCTACTGTTGTCACTGACCCTTCCTTTGAGTCCGCTGCTGCGTCTGCCTTGGTCACTGAGCTCGTCGACTTTGCTGCTCTTTGTCGTCTAGACTACGCTGCTAGTCTTGTTTCTGAGTCTGAGTCTTTCTGTCCTCTGTCCGTCGGGGGTGAGTGTGCCCTTGGCACGAACGTCCTTGAGGATAGGCAGGAGGAGTTCCAGTGTTTAGCTGCTGCTTCACCTCATCTCGTGTCCGTGCTGCTTACCCCTGAGGGAGACCCGGATGCACTTGACATCCCGACTCCGCGCTCTTACGCGGAGGCGATAGAGGGTCCCTACTCCTCTCACTGGCAGGCAGCCATGGACGCAGAGATGGCTTCCTGGAAGTCCACAAGCACCTACGTTGACGAGGTTCCCTCGCCTGGGGCGAACATCGTCAGTAGCATGTGGATCTTCAGGGTGAAGCGGCGGCCGGGTTCTCCGCCTGTCTTCAAGGCGCGTTACGTGGCTCGTGGCTTCAGACAGCGGCAGGGAGTCGACTACTTTCAGACCTTCTCTCCCACCCCGAAGATGACCACTCCTTGGGTACTGCTGCACATAGCCGCTCACCGGGACTACGAGCTTCACTCTCTTGACTTCAGCACTGCTTTCTTGCAGGGCAGTCTGCACGAGGAGATCTGGCTGCGCCGCCCACTTGGCTTCACTGGGACTTTCCCTCCTGGCACCCAGTGGAGCCTCCTGCGGCCAGTCTACGGTCTCCGCCAGGCACCTCGTGAGTGGCACGACACACTGAGGACTACACTTGCGGCTCTTGGGTTTGCTCCCTCTACTGCCGACCCGTCGCTGTTTCTGCACAACGACACTTCTTTGCCGCCGTTCTACATCCTCGTGTACGTCGACGACTTGGTCTTTACCACAGCTGACATTGTTGGACTCACCCACGTGAAGTCCGAGCTGCAGAAGAGACACACGTGCACAGACGTGGGTGAACTGCGCAGCTACCTTGGCTTGCAGATCACCCGGGACAGAGCACAGCGCACCATTACCCTGACTCAGTCACACATGGTGTAGCAGGTCCTTCAGCGCTTCGGCTTCACGTACACCTCGCCTCAGGCCACTCCTCTGTCTACTCGCCACTCGCTCTCAGCTCTGCCTTCGGATGAGTCCGTAGAGTCGAGTGGCCTGTACCCAGAGCTTGTTGGCTACCTCATGTACCTGATGACCTGCACACGTCCTGACCTTGCATACCCTCTTAGCATTCTCGCACGCTATGTCGCTCCTAGGAGACACAGACCGGAGCACATGGCTGCAGCGAAGAGGGTGTTGCGCTACTTGTGCAGTACGTCGGGCATGGGGCTTGTGCTTGGAGGGCGTAGTCGAGTGGTCCTCACAGGTCACGCAGACGCTTCTTGGGCTGACGACCACGCTACGCAGCGGTCGTCACAGGGTTACACCTTCAGCCTTGGTTCCGGCTCTGTTTCGTGGCGGTCTACCCGCTCGTCTTCTGTTCTCGGCTCCAGTTGTGAGGCTGAGATCTACACTGGGGCCATGGCTGCACAGGAGCTTTGCTGGCTCACCTACCTGCTGACTGACCTCGGAGAGCCGCCTTGTTCTCCTCCAGTGCTGTACGTAGACAACAAGGCCATGCTGGCCTTGTGTCGGGAGCAGAGACTGGAGCACATAGCGAAGCACATCGCTCTTCGCTACTTCCTTGCTCGTGAGCTGCAGCAGCGTGGTCAGCTGCGCCTTGCTTACGTGGCCTCTGAGGCCAACACTGCTGATATCTTCACAAAGGCACTCGTGCCTTGTGATCATCAGCGCTTCTATACTCAGTTAGGTCTTGTGCCTACCTTGCCTCACTTGCTCATTTCTTGACCTTGCTTGTAATGTTACATATATATTTACCTGTTCTTGCTTGTTTAGCCTTATATATATGTGATCTTGCAGGTGAACTGGCCTTGTGGCCTTGAACTTGTGCTCAGAATGTGTGGTGACGTTGTGATCCACCCTGAGCTTGTTTTGCCTTGCTTTGCTTGACTGGTCTTGTGACCCCTTGCTCTCCCCCACTTTGCCTATGGGGGTGTGTCAAACTCATATACTATAGTCTGTGTAGGCTGTAGTGGGGTAGCTTATATGGGGTACAACACTTTAGGGTTTGGTACTTGTACTCCTCATGCTGCTCAATGCAATCATTCTCGTTTCAATTTCACACATGTGTGGATGTGTCATGACGTTATTACTGTTTTTTGTCCGCTCTGAACAAACTCGGACCCCAGTGACATGCCATTTGCTAACCTGGGCTCATTGTGCCTTTGTGGTGTTTCGCTCACCCACAGATGAAGGGACGGGCGCCAAAAGTGCAGATTCGTCCGAGCGCAGCGAGGAGGATGACGAGGAAGGCTCAGACACATCGGCCAGCGCCTCACACGAAGAATCCGCCGACCCTGCTCCGGAGGCGAAGACGAACGACGATGGGTGTTTGGGAACCGCTGCGCCCAATGCGGGCACGCGCGCAAGCCAAGGCACGCGGGACACGGATGTGCCTCGAGGTGACGGCCGAGGACATGCGGACGGACCTGTGGACCGCACATGCGGGAACACGTTGAACCCAAACGGCGATGACGTGCGCATCCCGAGCAGGGTCCTCGAGCAACTTATACAGGCTCAGGACAAGAGCGTCAAGGAGAACGCGCGGTTGGAGGCGCTGTTCTTGAATGCGATGTCTCGGCCTTCCGGTGGCTCTCGTAAGCGTAAGGCACAGAAGCAGAGAGACCCGGGACAGGGGTGTATGAACCCGAAGCGTCAGCGTGGCGAGACGTGGAGTGGAGGGTCCGACGACGAGGGCGAGGACGACGAGGACGACACGCATGGTTCTGGTGGCCGTCATATGCGTACCGCAAAGTCCCCTATTCTGCAACGCGCGCTGGACCGCCTGCCGCATAGCTTCGCTTGCTTGGCGTTGGCGGCTGACAAGTCGCAACGCGCGGACCTCAACAAGACGCTCTCTGAGTGGAAGACGCGGGCCGCCGCCCGCGTGCGAGACATTGCACTTCCCAAGCTCGGCTTGTTCCGCGACGACAGGGACGCATCCAGCCCGTGGGCACCAGAGAAGGAGCGCAGTATCGAGAAGATCCGGGAGCACATTGCGCTTGGCGCTGACCGCCCTGGTGAGTGCCATGAAGACAGCAGGTGGGGTCGCCTACGTGTTGGTATGCTGACCATGAGTGTATGGCGGCCATTGACACTTACTGTGCGCATGTGGTGTGGAGAAACCCTGGTGCTCACGAGCTGGGCGACAGATCGGGACGGCATGCCGTTTGCCTCTCGGGCGTTCGCGACATGCGCGAAGGCTGCATTCAGGCCTAAGAAGGCCGGGCTGGTGATGACTCTGAAGGTGTACCACCTGGCCTGGTTGGAGCATGTGGTGAGTTTGTGCGCTCAATGTGTGCACGGTTTTTGCGTTGTACTGTCGTACCATTTGAGTGATAAGCTGGGTGTTTCCACAGGTCTCCAACTGCGTCCTCTACGGGGAGGAGAGGAAAGGCCGGCTTTCCAACTCGGCCGGGGGAAACGCCCACGTTGTGGACGGCCTCAAGGTCCTGGTGAAGGAGGTCGTGGAGAGGGCGATCCGGATCTGCAACCCGGAGCGCAAGGCGTGGACCTGGGGCCGCCATGGACTGCGCATCTCTGCCCGCGCCCTGGAGCACATGAAGCCCACCGCCGCAGCTCAGTCCGAAGACCTCGTGGGGGATGACGACCTTTCGGCGTCAGTTGGTGCTGAGTAGGCCAACTGGCGTGGGGGGCGTCATGGATCGTGTTGCGGACCGTTGAGGGGACAGGTGGTGGAGAGGTGTCTCAAGCATCATTATCTCTTCTGGTTGTGGGTCTTGAGTAGCAGTTTAGTGGGCACGGGTTTTTGCATGTGTGTTAATGGAAGTTACGGGGGTTAGTTGTATGCATGGTTGCGTAGTATGTTTGTGTGTGCGTTCCAACATTAATGTGAGGAGACTTTATTGGGGTATTGATGCAGATGATAGCACAACACCTACACCACTAGGATGCGGAATGCATCAGCCAGGCCGTCCACCAGGTGTGCGGGATGGCGTGGAACGCGCCGCATGTTGCGGCGCGTTTCACGGAGTGTGCCATATGTCACGTAAATGTGTGGACGTAAGAGTCTTCGCGGTGCGCACGCGTTGATATCTGGTTGGATATTCAGCATGGATGATGAGGTTGCACATTAGTGGCGTACACCGTGGACTACGCATGTCACCATCGAGTACGGACGCGAAGATGAGGTTGACGGTTGGAAACGCGGTGTGATATGCGCGGAGGGCGAGACAGCTGTACGGTCGTGATTGTGTCGTGCAGATGATGCGAACGAGTGCAACGATGGGATGGTAACTGGTTACTAGATGTGCGAGAACGGGATCGGCCGGCAAGTGTACGGGGTAGATCGAATAAGTGTGCGTGACGCGGCAGCTTGGTGGTAGAGACGATGTCCACTGATGGACGACGCAGATGGCGTCGTCACCTAGTAGCGTGTGGAAAACTACTGGGTGGCGAGTAGAATGGCGAAGTGTACAAAACGGTGGCGGTGCGACAGGTGTACGGTGATTATGCAATGTAGTGTAGGCTGCGGACGCACGATGCGCAAGTTGAGTGATGCGACGTGGTAGCATGGTAGTGGGTATTGAACGAGTGATTTGCGGTTAGCGCACCTGTGGGTTGGCACCAACTATCACGTATGTAGAGGGTGAGCACCGATCAGATGGACGGTGAAGATACTGGCGCTGTCTGTGCGCTGGCATGTACGAGTTGGTGTTCGCGATGTCGTAACACTGCTCGCGAGTTTATGTACAGGAGACACGTGAACCGTCGCGATTGCGTGACCCGAATGTGCATCCAACGGTTGGGGTGCGGGTACGTTATAAACCCTAAACGCTTACGTGGACGTGCGGGTTGATACTGGATGCCACGTGGGTGGGCGTGTACGGTGTGGCAGATGGGGTTGCTTACTCGTCACTTTGTAGTTGGTTGGCATGGTATGGTTGGGTAAACTTTTGTGTGGCGCAGCCCATGATTGTTGAGCAACTGCACGGATGCGGGTGTAGTGTCTAATTTGATGCACGCATATGTACAGAAAGCATCGGGAAGGTGAACGCGAAGTTACTTTGTAAGTGACTGTGGCCATGCAGTTCTAAAACCTTGACTCAAAAGTGCCGGGCAAAAATTATCAGGAAAGTTTTAGAAGAGTGTATTTCGAGTTGCTTTCCGAGCTTGCCATTTTCGCGATGCAGTGACACGGGTTTTGAGACGCCTCAAAAGTCATCAGGTCAGGAGCCACTTAGAGACTGTTGGGCCGTCAACGAGCAAGTCTCCCGCGCAGCAGTCCTGATGAGGAACAAAAGGAACTGGCGGGGAGTGGCTCTGCTTGAAAAGAGGTGGAACGGTGAGGGTAAAATACCTGAGAGAGCTGGAGCAGAAGGCGAGAACGGATTCGGTCATGGCGATGCCGAATGCGATGCCCATGAGCAGCACGTGCCAGTTCCACCCGTTGTCGCAGTTGTAGCAACCAGACATTCCGCCATACACGGCGAGCGAGGGGTCTGTTTTGTCCTTGGAGAGGTAGACGCAGAAGGTGATGAGGAGAGCGAGGAAGACGAGCTCGAAAACACGGGAGGTCCACGAGAAGACGCGCACCGGCGCGTTGAGCGTGTGCGACCCCATGCTGGCGACGGTGTGCGACGGTGACGACGGTGGCGACGGTGGTTGCGACGGTGGCAAGGAACGAGGGCGACGGGAGAGGGTGATGGTGTGATGGGTGATGGAGTCGAGAGCGGCGACGTCAGTGACGGTCTCGGGACTATCCCTGGCGAATACTAGAGCTCGTGACTCTCCGGCTCCTGGCTCTCGAGATTGGCGAGGACGAGAGTGTATTCGTTCGTAGCTCTATTCGAACTCTTGTCTCTCCTGAACTCTCTTTAGAGTCCTTCTTGTAGGGATGAGTGTGTTCGTTTGTGCCCCGCCAGCCCATCCCATCTCATCCCCTTATCCCGTCTCCGCTTCCCTCTCCACTCCACGCTCATCGTATCGGCATTCATCGTGCCACGTCACGACCCTCATCGTGCTGTCACCGCAGCCCTTATAACGTCGTGTCTGATCGTAGAAGTGTCGTGCAGATAACTGGATAGACAGGCGGAAGAGAGGCCGAGACAAACCGTGCGCTCGACGACCCTCCGGTGAGAATCGAGGGCAGTGTACAGTACAGTAGGAACAGCGACGGTTTTAGGGTACTGTAACCTAGCAAGACTGGCGTTGCGTGTGGTGGTGCGGTGACAGATTCTAAGTAACGCACTGTACTGTGTAGTATTCGAGCTCTATTTCGTTAAGAAAATCCCAACTGTCTCGTCTCGTCCATCGGACGAGTCGTCGTCGTCGCCCGCCCGTAAGTCGCTGTGAACTCTTCGCGCCTTCCCCCTTTCCCCTTTCCCGAATCCTCCTCGTTGAGTCGTACAGTGTCCGCCGGGACGAACATCAGCTCAGTTCTGTTCCCCTGGTGCCGCGTCCCACTTACACAAGATGCCCAACCCCTGCACGCGAATTTGCTCTGCCCGCGATGGAAACTCTGCACCCGTGTATTAGGGTACTAGGCAGTTGCACCCCATTTATAAGCACCTCGAGCAATACGAACCACAAAAACCGAAGTTTGACAGAAGAGACCCCTGTCAAACGGTCAACAGCGAGTTACAAAATCTTTTAAAAGCCCTTTTTGCTAAGTGCGAATTGACGAAAGCTTAGCGAAATGCAATAATCACTTAAGAGCCCTCTTAGCAAGGCAACCTTGGGTTAGTCAAACGGGCATCGTGTGTATCTCGTCGTTCCGAATGACGTACAGAACATAGAGATTGCCGCGGTTCGAGAAGTGTGTTTTCTCCTTAGGGGAGCTGGCGCGTGCCCAATCAGTGCACTGTTGCTAATCGCGTGGCGTACCGTCATTCGCTGAACTCGGGTAGTCTATGGAACAGGTGGCTGTCGCGGCTCTGGCGGCTGATCTTGAAGAGCGCAATCAGCGTTGTACGGGATGGGCTGTACGACGAACAGGAATTTGATCGTATATAGGTTATCGGTGAACATATCCACATACGGTACTCTGACATCCAGCCTTGAAAAGGCTTCTTTTCATGGTTTATGAGAGCTTACCAAGTGATCAGTGATCCCATAAACCATACTGTTACGAGTGCAATTAAGTGGGCGAGCGAAAATTGCTAAAATTGCACTATTGAAGCAAACAATCCATTGGGCGAAGGTATGAGCGAATCGTTTATATCAAAAGCATTCGCTGACGGTAACATGCTCGTGAAAGGGTGCCCTACGGGCTTAGCACTGACTTCGGGAATTGTCTTGAGGCCTAGAGCTGGATCGCGGGTTACCAGCCAAGGCGGGTGGTTTGGGAACGAGGGCTGTGGTGGCGGGAACAGTGCTCCTACCTGAGAAGAGCATGTTACGGTTTACATTAGTCGTAACAGTTTAAATTATAATCAAACTAATGTAATGTCCAACCAACCAGTTAGTCAACCCACAAAGTGTTAGTAACAATGGCCGCAAAAGAGTACGCATCCGCGTTACGCTCAATAATCTTCTGTGTCGAAGCACCCGATCCATGGCCTGCCTTCACATCTACTCTCAACACAATCGGGCTGATCTGATTTCCTTCACCATTTGTGCTGCAGGGTTCGAGGAGCAAGGAGGTGCGGTGCACACAGGAGATGGAAGGTGTATTGGAGGTGAATCTCGAACTCAAGGGAGAGGCAAGGGGAGAGCCAGGCGTAGCTGCGGCGCGAGCGTGTTCACCCATGCATCAGCACATGCTGCAAGCCACCCACCTGTGCTGTGCACCAGCACGACTGTGCATCACAATTCTTCTCCCACCTATACACTTGTGCCCGCCTACCCACCCACCCACCCACTCACCACACCAACCACCTGTGCACCAACACATGCTGCCACCCACCTTTGCACCAACACATGCTGCAGCTGAGCGGCGAGCTTGAGGGAGCGGGAGGGACCCACCCACCACTGCATCACAATTCTCATCCCACTTTCGGGCCAAAACCCACCCACCCATCCCACCATCCACCTGTGCACCAACACATGCTGCAGCTGAGCAGCAAATTTGAGGGAGTGGGAGGGCGGCACGCGGTCGTCATGGTCGCCCGTCAGCAGCATCACCGCCGGGTACTGCCGCCTGCGCTCTCCCCACTGCCGCTTCACTGCTGCCACGTCAGCTTCTGCTGCCACGTCAGCTTTTGCTGGCACATCAGCGGAATCTGAATGCGTGCATGTGATGTTGTTGCTGCTGGTGGGGCTGGCAGCTTCCCAGGGCCGCCTCACATTGTGCAGAGGGGAGTAGCTGCAAAGCAGGGGAGGGTGGGATAGGAGAGATGGGAAGAAAAGATGCCTCAAATCAGAGCTCACCTCACATTGTGCAGTGGAGAGTAACTGTTAGAGGGGTAGGAAGCAAGTAGGAAATACATCAGATGCAGTGAAGAGAAGGAGAAGAGGGAAAAGGAACACATCGCACGGCATGCTTCTAGCCTCGCCATTTTGGCACTTCGAGAAATCTAAACTCGCGGCAGAATCTGAGAGCTCTGCTTTTAAGGCGCCTCAAAAGTAAACTCACGGCAGATTCTGAGAGCTCTGGTTGGCAATTCCAGAAGCCCTTTTCATCTTGATCGTACGAGACTCCTAAACACACAACAAGGCCTTCTGACAAATTCTGAAAGTAACAGTAATATTCCTTCCAATATTGGTGGTATGAGATGAGACTTTGAAACATACGGCAGTGGTACGGCAAGGCCTGTCTTGCATTATTGCCAAAACGCATGCTGGCTGCGTTGCCATCCTGAAAGGAAGCACTGTTAGCTTCACGGGGCATGCCTGAGGAGCGATTTGAGCTGGTGTGGGTCAATGGAGCAGACGGGGCCTCAAATAGATGCCATGGCGTTACGTGGCAGCACCTGATGGGCAGCGACTGTTAGCTCTACGTGCTGTGGCATGCCTGAGAAGCCATTTGAGTTGGTGCGGGTCACTGGAGCAACCATAATCGGAGGTCCACGCACGACCGACGGTGAACTCGTGCAGGGAGATTGTTTTTGATATGTCTCAAAAACAATCTTCTTTCACGTGGCTGGAGCAGCCACCCTTGGAGGTCCATGCATGGCCGATGGTGAACTCATGAAGGGAACTTGGTGACAGAGGCACGAGTGGAATACGATGCACTGCTATGCGACGCCAAAGGCGTACCTGAGAAGCCATTTGAGCTGGTGCGGGTCACTGGAGCAGCCATACTCAGAGGTCCACGCATGGCCGATGGTGAACTCATGAAGGGAACTTGGTGACAGAGGCACGAGTGGAATACGATGCACTGCTATGCGACGCCAAAGGCGTACCTGAGAAGCGATTTGAGCTGGTGCGGGTCACTGGAGCAGCCATACTCAGAGGTCCACGCATGGCCGATGGTGAACTGGTGGAACCGCAGCATGTCTGTGAGCCCCACGTGTGCCAAGGCACATGCGAACAGGTCTGGACGCTGAGAACAGGGAGAATGGGGGAGGCATGAGAAGACATGAAGGGTGCTGCTGGAGCAACCATACGGGGAGGTCCATGCCTGCCGGATGGTGAAGTGGTGGATTCGCAGCATGTCTGTCAGCCCCACGTGTGCCAATGCATATGCGAACAGGTCTGGGCGCTGATGGGTGGAACACAGGAGAAGGGAGAATGGAGAAGGGAGAATGGAGAAGGGAGAAGGGGGAAAGGAGAATGGAGAAGGGAGAAGGGAGTAGGGAGTAGGCAGTAGGAGAGGGAAATTGGAAAAGTTAGATGGGTGAAGGGAGAAGAGGACAAGGGGAAGGGAGAAGAGGACAAGGGGAAGGGAGAAGAGGACAAGGGGAAGGGAGAAGAGGACAAGGAGAAGGGAGGAGAGGACAAGGGGAAGGGGGAAGAGGACAAGGGGAAGGGAGAAGAGGACAAGGGGAAGGGGGAAGAGAGAAGGGAGGATGGCATCAGCTGCCCCTGTTTCCAACTTGTGAGCGACGCATGCATGGGTGCAGCCTCATACCATCACGTTGCATGGGTGCAGCCTCATACCATCACGCACACACACACACACCAACACAGCCGCACACACCAACTTTTGAGACGTCTCTTGAGACGACTTTTGAGACGTCTCAAAAGCCAACACACCCACACATACCAACACAGCCACACATACCAACACACCCACACACACCAACACACCCACACACACCAACACACCCACACACCCACACACACCAACGTACCGACACATACCAGCCCACCTACACATACCACCATACCCACAACACACATACCAACACACCCACACACACCAACACACCCACACATACCAACACACCCACACATACCAGCACACCCACACACACCAACACACCCACACACAACAACACATCCACACACCCACACACACCAACGTACCGACACATACCAACCCACCTACACATACCAACATACCCACACCACACATACCAACACACCCACACATACCAACACACCCACACATACCAACACACCCACACATACCAACCCACCCACACATACCAACCCACCCACACACAGCTAAGACTTCTGGAAAACTGCCTGCAAAGCGCCCACCTGGTTATGCAGGCAGCATTCGAGACTTGTAAAGAACCGCCTACCCCGCTGGGCACAAGCATGCGTACCTGGTTGGGCACAAGCATGCGTACCTGGTTGGGCACAAGCATGCGTACCTGGTTGGGCACAAGCATGCGTACCTGGTTGGGCACAAGCATGCGTACCTGGTTGGGCACAAGCATGCGTACCTGGTTGGGCACAAGCATGCGTACCTGGTTGGGCACAAGCATGCGTACCTGGTTGGGCACAAGCATGCGTACCTGGTTGGGCACAAGCATGCCCACCTGGTTGACGGCGGCACTGACGAGCAACCCCCCGTTGCTGCCACCCTCTATCACCAGCTTCACCAGCCCCCCTCGCTTATCCTTATCATAAAGCTTGGGAGTTGGGAGCTTGGGAGGTATTTGCTGAGTCGAATTTCTGCCACCCTCTATCACCAGGTTCAACGGCGATGTATACCCCATCAGAGTGTTGCCGCTCTGCATCATCACCTTGTATGGCGCATGGTATGCTTGCCACAGATGCACATACTCTCAAACACATACACTCCCGTTATAAGCACACCCACCTGGTTGACAGCAGCACTGACGAGCAACCCCCCGTTGCTGCCACCCTCTATCACCAGCTTCGACGGCGATGTGTACCCCTCACGTATCAGATGCTCCGCGCAGCTCTGATGAAGGGGGCAAAAGGAATGGGGCGAATTTGAGGCACCACACAAATAGATTTGCCTATTGGGTGTATCTGATAGAAGAGATGGAGCACTGATAGAAGAGATGGAGCACTGATTATGTACGAAGTAGTGTTTTGAGACGTCTCAAAACACTACCTCCTACACATGGCTTTGAGGCATCACACAAGTAGATTCGCCTACCAGGTGCATCTGATAGACGAGATGGAGCACTGAAGCACTGATTTCGTTCTGATCCACCAGTAGCACAAATCAGATGCAGCTCTGGAGGACCTAGGATAAAGAGATGGAGCACTGATATTGTTGACATTGTTAGAGGAGGTCGAAAGGGAACATGGTGCAGAATGGTGGATTTGAAATGCCTTGAGCTTACTGCACCTTAGCAGAGAATGAAGCAGCGTGAAATGAAGACCCACTCACTGACATGGAAGTCGTCAAAGGTCCAACCCACACCAAGGTTACCCACACCAAGGTCCCACCCACACCAAGGTCCCACCCACACCAAGGTCCCACCCACACCAAGGTCCCACCCACACCAAGGTCCCCCCCACACCAAGGTCCCACCCACACCAAGGTCCCACCCACACCAAGGTCCCACCCACACCAAGGTCCCACCCACACAATGAAGTCCCACTCACATAGAAATCGTCAAAGCACTGCTGCTTGTGGGCCAGCGCGCCTTCCTTGTGCCACCTCTCCCCGTACTCCCCCCCTCCGCGGATATTCGCCACTGCCACCACGGCTCCGTGGTGCCTCATCAGCAGCACCCGGGCCACACTGAAGGACGGCTTGATGCAGATGTTGAAGCCTCCGTAGCCGTACAGGAGAGTGAAGTGGTCTGATGTGTGGGGGAGGTCTTTACGACACACCACAAACATGGGGATCCTGGGGGAAAGTGGGGCAACAGCAGAAGCATGGGAGATACGCTGAAGGACGGCTCGATGCAGATGTTGAAGCCTCCGTAGCCGTACAGGAGAGAGTGAAGTGGTCTGATGTGCGGGGCAGGCCTTTACAGCACACCACAAACATGGGGATTTTGTGGGAAAACAGGGGGCAGCAGGTGCATGGGTGTCATGCGGAAGCACGATGAACCTCAAAACGAGCGCATTAACATCTTATCTGAGTAAATCGGCAAGTTGGTTATTGAGAATTCTCATGAACCAAGCCGCCATGAACATCTGATCTGAGTAAAAATCGGCAACCTGAGTCTCGGGCGATACAGTCATTCTATTTGGTGATGCACCCATGCCACCTACCTGGCAGGCAGTCGTACCGAGAGCATACCTACCTGGCAGGCAGTCGTACCGAGAGCATACCTACCTGGCAGGCAGTCGTACCGAGAGCATACCTACCTGGTAGGCAGTCGTACCGAGAGCATACCTACCTGGCAGGCAGTCGTACCGAGAGCATACCTACCTGGCAGGCAGTCGTACCGAGAGCATACCTACCTGGCAGGCAGTCGTACCGAGAGCATACCTACCTGGCAGGCAGTCGTACTGAGAGCATACCTACCTGGCAGGCAGTCGTACCGAGAGCATACCTACCTGGCAGGCAGTCGTACCGAGAGCATACCTACCTGGCAGGCAGTCGTACCGAGAGCATACCTACCTGGCAGGCAGTCGTACCGAGAGCATACCTACCTGGCAGGCAGTCGTACCGAGAGCATACCTGGTGCCATCGGTGCTGGGCACAAACACTTGCTGCGCCTCAAACAGAGAGGGGTCGAAGCCTGGAACGGTCAGCTGCCGGTGCACCTGGTGACAACACAGGTACATGAACACAAGACGTACATGCATGTGCCACCTACCTGAGGCGTGTTTTGAGTCGACTCAAAACAGAGGTACACGAACACAACACATACATGCATGTGCTGAGGCGTGTTTTGAGTCGACTCAAAACAGAGGTACACGAACACAAGACGTACATGCATGTGCTGAGGCGTGTTTTGAGTCGACTCAAAACAGAGGTACACGAACACAACACATACATGCATGTGCTGAGGCGTGTTTTGAGTCGACTCAAAACAGAGGTACACGAACACAACACATACATGCATGTGCTGAGGCGTGTTTTGATTCGACTCAAAACAGAGGTACACGAACACAACACATACATGCATGTGCTGAGGCAACCAGTAAACTGGCGATGCCCCCGGTGAGGTGAGGTGACAGCAGAGGTACACGGACACAAGACACACATGAACCATGCGTGCGCTCAGGCAAACATTCAGCTGGTGATCAACCCGCCAAATGCCAGCCGTGGATGTGCGAGAGTGAGGCATCCTAACGCAGCTAGTAGGAGCTTTGAGACATCTCAAACCGTGAGTGAGGCATCCGAGGTGACTTTTGAGTCGACTCAAAAGTCACCTCGTTACCATGGCACACGTCTCAAAACGTGAGTGAGGCATCCGAGCACAGCTAGTAGGAGTCAACACACATGCCATGTCACACACACATGCCATGTCACACGCACATGCCATGTCACACACACATGCCATGTCACACACACATGCCATGTCACACACACATGCCATGTCACACACACATGCCATGTCACACACACATGCCATGTCACACACACATGCCATGTCACACACACATGCCATGTCACACACACATGCCATGTCACACAAATACCCAGGAGAGCACGCACAACTTGTGCGTGAGTTGAGTTCATCGCACATGCAGAACACACCCCTGGCTGCCTGGCTGGCTGGATGGCTGGCGGCTGGCTGGCTGGCTGGATGGCTGGCGGCTGGCTGGCTGGCTGGATGGCTGGCTGGCTGGCTGGCTGGCTGGCTGGCTGGCTGGCTGGCTGGCTGGCTGGCTGGCTGGCTGGCTGGCTGGCTGCTGGCTGGCTGGCTGGCTGGCTGGCTGGCTGGCTGGCTGGCTGGCTGGCTGGCTGGCTGGCTGGTTGGCTGGCTGGCTGGCTGGCTGGGCAGAGGAGCAGCGAGGTCGCGGTGGTACACACATGGTGATGTGGGATGTCTCATCTTAAAACATGGTGCGACGACTTTTGAGACGCCTCAATAGTCGGTACACACATGGTGATGTGGGACGTCTCATCTCAAAACATGGTGCGACGGCCGAGGAATCAACGCAGACAGAAGCCTCGCCCCCTTTTCATGCATTGCGCACCACAATGGAGCAAGGGAGACGGAAGACGCTTGCATGCCTCGCACATCATCCGGGTGAGGCTCGGTGAGGTCGCAGCGGGACACGGTGGCCGGGGGAACGGAAGAAGGAAGGAGAGCTTAGCCCTCTTCCCGTCAATCACATACCAGTGCAAGCACACACATCAGGTTCCGCCAGGTATGGTTCGGTGAGGTCGCAGCGGGACACGGTGGCCGGGGGAGCAGAAGCTCACAAGGGAGAAGCGCGCATCGCCTCGTTCCAGAAATTACACACCAGTGCAAGCACGCACCTCTGGCTCAGGGTGAGGGGTGGACGTTTGAGGCGCCTCAAAAGTCGTTCCAGAAATTACACACCAGTACAAGCACGCACCTCTGGTTCAGGGTGAGGGGTGGTGAGGTCACAGCGGTACACGGCGTGGGGGCAGAGGAAGCTCTCAAAGCCGTTGGCGGCCTTACAGCCTTAGCTACGTTGATGGGACTTTTGAGAATTCTCAAAAGTGCCTTACAGCCTTAGCTCTTTCTAGACACAACACATCAGTGCAAGTGCAAGCACGCACCTCTGGTTCGGGGTGAGGGCTGGTGAGGTCGCAGCGGTACACAGTGCGGGGGGGGAGGAAGCTCTTAAAGTTGTTGGTGGACTTATAGCCTTAGCTCTTTCCAGGCACAACAGATAAGTGCAGGTGCCAGCACACACCTCCGGGTTCGGGTTGAGGGGTGGTGAGGTCGCAGCGGTACACGGTGCGGGGGGGAAGAGGAAGTAAGTAAGGAGATAAGTTGAGTTTTGAGACGTCTCAAAACTCAATCTTATCAAGTGGCTTAGCTTGACCCTCTTTCCGTCAATCACACACCAGTACAAGCACGCACCTTTGGTTCAGGTTGAGGGTTGGTGAGGCTGCAGCGGTACACAATGATGGGGGAGAGGAAGCTTTCAGCAAGATGGTGGAAGCCTCACAGGTCTTTCCATGCAGGTCTTTCCATGCAACACGCATCAAGTCAAGCACGCACCTCTGGTTCAGGTTGAGGGTTGGTGAGGCGACAGCAGGTTGACTTTTGAGTCAACTCAAGAATCAGCAAGACGTTGGTAGGCTTACAGTTCTTTCCACGCAACACGCATCAAGGCAAGACAAGCACGCACATCTGGTTCAGCGTGAGGGGTGGTGAGGTCGCAGCGGTACACAGCGCATGGGGTGGGGAGAGAGGAAGCTCTCAAAGGAGGTCGAGAGCACTGTGCCATTCCATGCATTCCATGCAGCAGAAACCAAGGCAAGCACGCGCGCACCTCGGGTTCAGGTTGAGGGGTGGTGAGGTCGCAGCGGAAAATGGTGCGGGGGGAGAGAAAGCTCTCGAAGGAAAAGAAAGCCTCGCTGTCGCTGCGACGACCCGAGGAGGAGGAGACAGCGCCCATCGGGAGCGGCACTGTGGAGAGCAGCAAGCCATCGGTAAGGGAGCGGATCTGCGAGGGAGACAGGGAGAAAGGGTGAAACTGGCTTAAAACGCCTCCTGCTAACCGGAGAGGAGGAGATGGGGCCCATGGGGAGGGGCACCTTGGAGAGGAGGAGGAGACAGCGCCCATCGGGAGCGGCACTGTGGAGAGCGGCAAGCCATCGGTAAGGGAGCGGATCTGCGAGGGAGACAGGGAGAAAAGGGTGAAGCTGGCTTATAAATCCCCCTGCTACCCGAGGAGGAGGAGACAGCGCTCATGGGGAGGGGCACTGTGGAGAGCAGAGAGCTGCCAGTGAGGGAGCGAATTTGGAATGGGGAGAGAACGAGGCAAGACACACATTATTCTTTTGAGGCGCCTCAAGAGAACGAGGCAAGAAACACATTATTCTTTTAAGGCGCCTCAAGAGAACGAGGCAAGAAACACATTATTCTTTTGAGGCGCCTCAAGAGAACGAGGCAAGTAACACATTATTCTTTTGAGGCGCCTCAAGAGAACGAGGCAAGAAACACATTATTCTTTTGAGGCGCCTCAAGAGAACGAGGCAAGAAACACATTATTCTTTTGAGGCGCCTCAAGAGAACGAGGCAAGTAACACATTATTCTTTTGAGGCGCCTCAAGAGAACGAGGCAAGAAACACATTATTCTTTTGAGGCGCCTCAAGAGAACGAGGCAAGAAACACATTATTCAGGCAGACAACAAGGAAGAGAGTGCATTCATGGGGAGCAGCAAAGGCAAGGAGGGAGCTTTTGGTGAGGGGAAAGGGACCCTTAAATTTGGAATGGAGAGATGCACGTATACCTGGAGCTTCTTGTGTTGTGTCCCTACGTTTGCCCCTCATAAAAAGACGCCTACATACCTGGAGCACGTTTATCACATGGCGCATGTTGCCCCCCCGCAGCAGCATGCATGCATGCAGTGGCTAATGTTCTAGACGCATCAAGGATTGTCTCAGCGCACGACTGCATACCTGGAGCACGACTGCATACCTGGAGCACGACTGCATACCTGGAGCACGACTGCATACCTGGAGCACGACTGCATACCTGGAACACGACTGCATACCTGGAGCACGACTGCATACCTGGAGCACGACTGCATACCTGGAGCACGACTGCATACCTGGAGCACGACTGCATACCTGGAGCACGACTGCATACCTGGAGCACGACTGCATACCTGGAGCACGACTGCATACCTGGAGCACGACTGCATACCTGGAGCACGACTGCATACCTGGAACACGACTGCATACCTGGAGCACGACTGCATACCTGGAGCACGACTGCATACCTGGAGCACGACTGCATACCTGGAGCACGACTGCATACCTGGAGCACGACTGCATACCTGGAACACGACTGCATACCTGGAGCACGACTGCATACCTGGAGCACGACTGCATACCTGGAACACGACTGCATACCTGGAGCACGACTGCATACCTGGAGCAGGACTGCATACCTGGAGCACGACTGCATACCTGGAGCACGACTGCATACCTGGAGCACGACTGCATACCTGGAGCACGACTGCATACCTGGAGCACGACTGCATACCTGGAGCACGACTGCATACCTGGAGCACGACTGCATACCTGGAGCACGACTGCATACCTGGAACACGACTGCATACCTGGAGCACGACTGCATACCTGGAGCATGACTGCATACCTGGAACACGACTGCATACCTGGAGCACGACTGCATACCTGGAGCACGACTGCATACCTGGAACACGACTGCATACCTGGAGCACGACTGCATACCTGGAGCATGACTGCATACCTGGAGCACGACTGCATACCTGGAGCACGACTGCATACCTGGAGCATGACTGCATACCTGGAACACGACTGCATACCTGGAGCACGACTGCATACCTGGAGCACGACTGCATACCTGGAACACGACTGCATACCTGGAGCACGACTGCATACCTGGAGCATGACTGCATACCTGGAACACGACTGCATACCTGGAACACGACTGCATACCTGGAGCACGACTGCATACCTGGAGCACGACTGCATACCTTCGAGCATGACTGCATACCTGGAACACGACTGCATACCTCGAGCATGACTGCATACCTGGAGCATGACTGCATACCTCGAGCACGACTGCATACCTCGAGCACGACTGCATACCTGGAGCACGACTGCATACCTGGAGCACGACTGCATACCTGGAGCACGACTGCATACCTCGAGCACGACTGCATACCTCGAGCACGACTGCATACCTCTAGCACGTTCTTGACGTCGCGCATGTAGCAGAGCAGCAGCATGTCCTGGTTCACACACCGGATCCACTCCAACACATCCCCCTCCGCCTCCCCTACCGCCACTGCCATTGCCTTGCCATCCCGTCCCAGTACATACCTCGAGCACGTTCTTAACATCGCGCATGTAGCACAGCAACCACATATCCTGGTCAAGATGCTTCTAGATGCCTCAAACATTGTCCCAGTGCGTAGATGCATACCTCTAGCACGTTTTTCACGTCGCGCATGTAGCAGAGCAGCAGCATGTCCTGGTTCACACACCGGATCCACTCCAACACATCCCCCTCCGCCTCCCCTATCACCTCCTCCCACCTCCCATCCTCTTCCTCCCCCTTCTCCCCCTCCTTCCTCTTCTGCCTGCCCTCTGCACCCCCCAATTCATCCTCCCCTTCCTCGTGCCCACCGTCCGACCCAGTACCCTCTGGCAGAATAATCCGCACCACCTTGCCACGTGGCGCGTCCTTATTGGTGTGGAAGGTGAACGCCGGGCCGTCATTTGTCACGTAGCTGAACATGCCGTCAAAGAGGCGTCTAAGGGCGATGGCAGGCAGGCGCACAGAACCACCATCACCATCCCCACCATCCCCACCACTGCCACCATCCCCACCATCCTCATCATCCCTATCATCTCTTTTAAAGACTACAGTCTCTTCATTCTCATTGCTTGCATCCTTCTCAACGCTCTCATCTTCCTTATCCTTCCTATTGTTCCCATCAGATGCAGAGGCAGCGTGCACTGGAGAGCCATCCAGGCGTCCACGTGGCAGCTGCTGGAGGTTGATGACGTGGACAAGATTGTCGTGGTCGCAGTTCGCCCACGTGCTTATAATGAGGTACTGTCAGGTGGGGAACGGGAAGGGTGGAGGACAGGCGAGACGTAGTGGAGAGGAAAATGGGAAGCTATATGGGGATGGATGGAAAGAACACTGGAGGAGCGAAGCTGCATGCAGGAGCAGATGGGTTTTGAGGAAAGAGGTGGAGGAGGGAGGGAATTGGTGTGTATTTAGAGGAAAGCTAAACGAGTGGAGCGCGCACAGTTCAAGAAGCAACCCCTTGCCCCCTCACCACTATGAGCAAACTAGAATCGACAAAAGAAAGAAGTGGCTGACAAAACGAAGCCTGGGTTGAGCTGTCAACACATCACTCAACACATCAGTCAACACATCGGTCAACACATCATTCAACACATCGGTCAACACATCAGTCAACACATCACAGGCACAGAGGGCTTGAAGGCATGTGAGGGAGAGGGAGAGTAAGAGGCTGAGAGTGAGAGAGAAAAGGAGAGCACATGCCTGACCGTCGTCGCTGACTTCTGAGCCAAACATCCACGTGGGATGGGCCTTGCTCTCCCAGCACAGCGCATCGTCAGCCTGCGCCTGCCCCAGCACGTGGTAGTACACCCGCTGATTCACCACCCTCGCCGTCCCTGCTGCCGCCCCCTCCGCATCCACTCCTGTCGCCGGGGTCAAGGCAGAGAGGGGAAGACACGGGGGATGAACGAAAGAGGGTGACACCAGCGGCGGATCAGATGGGGAGTTGGATTTTTCAGTGTTCTCGAGATTTGAAGGTAGGGAAGAGAGATAGTGAGGTTGAGAGGAAGGCTGGTTCTACGCAGCCGTAAGTGTGCCGCTTCCAAGTGAAGCGGCGCAATAGAGCTCGTGGGAGATCAGAATCAACCCTCGTTACACTGAATTGATGAAAGTGAGCATAACCCTCGTTACCGTCGTATCGGTTGTAGAAGAAGCCCCTGTTGTCGTGCGTCCACGCAATAGACGTGTAATTCACGTTCTTGAGCTCGTCCGGCTCGTTATCCTTAGTCCCCACGCGCAGCACCTTAATGGCGTTCCAATCGCTGCCGCTCTGGCTCACAGCGTACGCCAGGTACTCGCCATCCTCGCTAAAAGAGTACGTGCCAAGAGATACAGTCCCATCGTCACTCCACGTGTTCGGATCCAGCAGAACCTCGGCTTCGTCTTCCAGCGATTTCTGCTCGGAAGAATGAAAATGATGAAGACAACAATGCAGGATCGAAACTGGCACTTTTACGAAAACGTTGTATCGTGCCGATATGACGTTCATAACTACTGGCGTATAGCTGATAACGAACCTGCACGTAGAGAACACTATGTGCTTGGAGCCCAGTATTGTGAAAGTAGAAGTAGTTGCTGCCGTACTTGAACGGACAACCATACTCAGGAGAATCCAACAGATCCGTCAGTCGCTCCTTCAGCTTCTCCCTACCCTTTATCCCCGATAGAATCTCATTCGTTAGTGCATTTTGCGCTGTGACGAAATCGCGAGTTTCCTGGCTATCGGGGTCTTCCATCCAACGGTACGGATCGTGAATCTTCGTCCCGTGATAATCGTCGACAACAGATTCATCGCGACGAGCCTTAGGGTAGTTGATCGCGGTGGAAGCCATGAACCTGCGAATGTGTGAGCTACGCGCAGGCGTAAGTGAACTAGACTTTGGTAAGCTTTGCTGGGACGCCTTTTTGAGCCCGAATCGAATGCCTGCTGATGATGAGACCAACTTCAAGGCCATAGAGGCCCTGTTCGACAGCGAGGGTACCCCGCCAGAAACGCTTTGAGGTGACCTCGTTGGTTGGGCGGGAAACGGTTTGCGACCCCCTGCGACGACTGATAATTCCCGCCAGCGCGAACGACCCCCCTACGATGTCCTTGGTTTCCCGCCCAGCTGCTAAAACATGGAGGGAATTTTAACGGGGTGGTTTGACACCACAGCGCGCAGTAGCAGTGACTGTCGCCTAATCATTACAGCCCATCCCTGGTAAAATTTCAGACCATTACCAGACCATTGCCAATGTTACTTTTCAAATAAGTGGCCCCAGTGCCAGACCAATGGGCTATTTAGGGATAGTCGCGCCAAACAAAAGGTATAAACCAGTTGCACCACAAATCCTTTCCACACACCTAACTAATGCTGGAACCGATCTGGAATACTCTATACATTTTCAGCACAAACATTTGGGTGAGGCTTTTGTTTTTACGTAGACCGTCGAACCCCCGGGCAGACCCCGCGGCTGGAAACAGTCCGCTTCAAAGAGCCGTTGAGGTGGAGCTTTTCGACCACCTCGGCCGTCTTCGGGTCGGCCAAAATGATTACAATGCCGGCGCTGTCCCACCACTTGCATTTTGTCGCGACGCTGAACCATTTGGGCGACAGAGCCAAACCAAATGGTTGCGTCGTGGGGGCCCCAAAGTGCTATCGAACAGAGCCAGAAAGTTGCCTTGCCGCGCCCAAAGCACTGCACAAGTCTGTCTTTCAGCATGAGTGCTTGGATGTTGACGAGAAGTGAGAGGGTGAAACGCCCCATTATTCCCAGATGAACCCATTCAACGTGGAATATTTTGCGAGAATGTGTGTGCACCCAGAGGAAAAACCTGCTCAGAAGTTGTTACTAAGAAAACTGTATTGAATTTGTCTCAAAACCTTTGTGTTTTTGCTATCTCGTGCCGGACATCTATTGTCTTCCTGTAATGTTTCACATGCATTTTCCTCAGTCATGTAACCTGTCACATACGTTCATGAACGCTGAATTTTCTTTTCGCCAAACCGAAGCATTTCCAGAGAGAGTTTTCGAAATGTGGTGTCAGACTTCCCGCCAAACTTATCTGCCAATCAGGTGTAATCCTTTTCCTTCCTTACACTTCCCGCCCACATTCGAAGCCACTCCCTCGAAATCTCCTTTTTGGTGTTCGTCACTCGCTCCAGTTCTTCCCAAATCGTTTCTCTGAAGTTGTTACTGAATGCATTAGGTAGCTAGCTAGTTGAAGCCTATCTCACTGTTTGCCCGTTTTCGATTCATGCAGTAACGATCCTGTTATTGTGAAGCAGTTACATGTGTCTGCGTGACGAACTCCGTTAGAGTGCCTGCGAGACCGTGATTGCGATTCATATGGAAGAAGAACCTTCGTGTCCAGAGCTGTTTGAGTAGCTATCTGGCGATTTTTTTTACCCTGTCGTTCCGTTTCAAATCGATTTAAGTAGGAAATGGTCAGAACCAAGCCTCCACGGTTGAGTGCGCTAAGCATGGGTTCGCCAAAAGTTTCCGAGTCCACAGCAATTCTTCCATCACCGTGCGTTCCCGGCGACCGAGAAGAGTCTTACCGTGCGGATGTCACAAATGTCGACTCCACTTCCAATTCCGGCGACCCCAAAGTGTCAATCTGGCAGTCGTCGCAATCCCTTGACCTCAGCGATCGTCCATTGAAGGTCTACAACCGCCGTCCCTTGGCGTCCAGACGAGCTCAGTCAAGACGGCCACGAGGACCCATAACTCCTCGGTACTGTAGCATCTATGCCGCCAGCAATTCCATGATGGAGTAACATCTCACCAGCTGATGACTTTTTTGTTCTGTAGTGAAACTTCGTCGTATGCAAGGTTTTTCTAGCTCATTTACTGGATAACCTGTGTAGCCATCCCCGCACAGACGTCTCATGCCTCAGATGACGCATCGCCTTTCGCTCATCGTTACCTCAGGTCCCATTTTCCTGTCGCCGACTCTTTTTAACAGGATGAGGAATGACCAACAGCAGACGCCCACCCGATTCACCGCTTGAACGCGCGTTTCCCTTCCTCTGCTTTATGTATGCTTCTTCTGCCTTCCATTCCGTTGTATTCTTTCGCCTGTGATCTTCACCAGATCGCCCGCCACTTCAGAATCCAATAGCATCAGTCAGGCATGCGACTCGGTTCTGCGCGGTGGGAGGAGGCGCGTGTCCGCCTTCGGATCCTCCCTCTCCTGCAGGTGAACTTTAGTAGTCGACGAAATGCTCTTGTTACTCCGCTTGTGTGTCAAAGCTTGTCACTCTTGTTGGGTTAATACTAGAGCTCGGCTCAGAAGCCTGTACTAGAAAAGCCTTCGGTTCCACTCTCCAGGTAATCTCCCGAACCAGTCACTTCACTTCACAGAGTATAATCGACAGACGTGGCGCTTATTGCATGGAATACAGAGGCTGATATGGAGAGAGATAGCAATGACAGCTAATCCATGCAGTTGCAACCAGCCATCCAAACCACTCAGGAATGCTTGCGTAGACTTAGATATTAAGCATCAGAGCATGCAGGGGATTGTGGAAGCATGCACGATACATTTCTAACTGTCAGTGTGGTCGTGCAGCATGGTGCTCTGAGCACATTCCACTTGATGCACTGCCCTGCTGTATTATCCCAGACCGAAACATGCAAACGGTAACGCGGTGCGTGCGAGCTAGCTAGTGCTATGCTGGCAGCGAGGCTCGGGCTAGTCCCGAAGCGTAGGCCGACACGGCCATGCCAGCAGTGCGAGGTTTGGCAAAACAGTGCGCGTGAAGTTGGCGAAGCCCCATTAGCAGTAACAGGAGAACAACGGCTGTTGCTGTACGCGATGTAGTCGGGCTCCGTAAGGAATGCCGAGAAAATTCCTTACAGCAGGATAATCTGTTCTGGGGCTGGCACCTCTTACCGTGACTCTTATGTGTGGCCTCTCCCAACCCATCATCAACCCATCCCCGCCTCCACTGCTCCGTCTTCCCCCTTCCGTCCACCGCGCTCCACTCAGGGCCCGGCGATACAGCTTTCTGTCAGCGTCGCCCTCCACAGTTGGCGCAACACCGCCTGCAACACAGGTACCTTGTCTCTGTTCTCCCCCGTTCCTCCTCTGTTGCTTGCTCCTTCGCTGCTCCCCTGATGCTCTCCTTGGTGCTCCTCCCGTGTCCCCTTTGATTCTCCTCTCCTCTGTAGCCATCCAAGCACACAACAAGGCGTCTCCCTCTCCTTGCTCCGATAAACATATGCTCCTTCCTTTGAATTTCCCCCTTTTCCTGGTTGTTTTCAGAGTGGAGCGGGCGGAGCATCGTCGGGGCGGCAGAAGAAGCCGAGCGGCAAAGCAGCAGCACAGCAGGGTCGGTCGGCGTGCAGAGGAGTACCAGGAAAGAGGCGATACCTTGATGCATCCAAACCCTGCCCTTTCTTCGCCCTTCCTTTCTTCCCTGTCTCTTCAGAGTGGAGTGAAGCAGAAAGCAGGAGCGGGCAGAGCAGCGTCAGGGCGGCAGAAGAAGCTCAACAGCAAAGCTGCAGCCATGCAGGGTCAACGGGCAGAGGAGTACCGGAAACTGCGCGCATTCTTTCAGGAAGTAGACGAGTTTGAGATGGAGGAGGAGGAGGAGGAGGAGGAGGAGGTGGAGGAGGCGCGGGAGCAGGCGAACAAGTGGGTGGATAAGGGGAGGGCGAGGGACGAGGGAGTGGAGAGTGTGCTGGATGCGTTTCAGGGGTGGTGCTGGTATGTTCCGCCTTCAGGGGATGGTGGTGGGCAAGAGGATGGGGGAGGGGGTGGGGGAAGGGATGGTGGAGGAGATGGGGGAGGGGATGGGGAAAGGGATGGGGGAGGAGATAGGGGAGGGGGTGTGGGAGTGGGGAGTGACTGGGTGCCGGAGTTTATGGCTAGGGAAGCTGGGCTGTTGGGTGCACTGCGTAGGGTGGATGAGGGAGGGGCGGAAGGGGAGGAGGAGGAGAACGAGGAGGACGAGGAGGAAGAGGAGGAAGAGGAGGAAGAGGAGGAAGAGGGAAGAGGATATTTTGAGGAGAAGGCAGGAAAAATGCAACAGGAGGAGGAGGAGGAGGAGGAGGAGGAGGAGGAGGAGGAGGAGGAGGAGGAGGAGGAGGAGGAGGAGGAGGAGGAGGAGGAGGAGGAGGGGGAGGAGGAGGAGGAGGAGGAGGAGGAGGAGGAGGAGGAGGAGGAGGAGGAGGAGGAGGAGGAGGAGGAGGAGGAGGTTACCAGGGCAGAGATCTCATTCGACGCGTACCTCCACTCACAGCTCTCCAGCCTCAAGCTCTCCACAACCGCTAGCCCAAGCGCACTGGGCAGCACATTGAGAGGCGGGGAAGGTCCGGTGCCAGCAGCAGCTTCAGAGCCAGAAGAAGGAGGAGCAGGCGATGTGACGCCTAGCAGAGCTGTAGGAACTTTTCCCAGCGGTGGGGTAGGTGTGGCTGCCAGCACTGCTGTTGGTGAAAGCCGGGAAGGGCAGGCATGGGAGGAGGGGGACACGGTGGGTGGAGGCGAAAGGTGGAGAAGAGAGGGCGGAGCAGAGGGGCAGGGTGATGAGAGTACCGTTGTGCAAGGGCGCTGGGGCGCTGGAGGTGGGCGGTTAGAGGAGGAAGGCGGTGGGACGAAACCCGAGAGTGGCTGTAACAGAGGTGCCTTTAGCGAGCTGTCAGTAGGGAATGAGTGTGTGGGAGAAGGGAAACAAGGGCAAGGGCATCGACAAAGTAAAGGGGAGGCACACGAGGTGTCGTCGAAGGAGGTGTGGTCAGAGGATGCAGGTTCGAAAGGGGTGAGTGAGCTGGCGAGGGAAGAGACTTTTGAGTCTCAAGAAGGGAAGACGAACGAGGTGTGGTCAAAGGAGGTGTGCTCAGAGGATGCAGGTTCGGAAATAACAGATGAGCTGGAGAGGGGAGCGCCTGAGGTGGTGCCTCATGGGTTAGAGGCACTGCACAGACTAAGGGAGTCGTCTGGTGGTGGCAGCACTCTGCTGCAAGATTCTGGGGACTCTGCTGAGGGCATGGGCGTGGGTGTGGGCAACGCAGAGGACGTGGTGGATCTCACTGGGTGCAGCAGTGACGACGACTCTGTCAACTCTTATCACTCTGACGGCTCTTCTGACTCTGATACTCCTGGTGATGGTGAAGTGGACGATTCCGCCTGTGCTCACGAGGACGGGTCAGAGCTGGAGAGAGGAGTGAGAGGGGGATATGTGGAGCGAGGCAAGCACCAGAACAGGCTACAGGCGCAGAAGCAGATGCAGCAGCAGAGGCAACAGCAGAAGCATGGGAGGCAGAGTGTAGGAGCAAATCAGCCGAGCCAGCGAGTCCTGAGAAGCAGCATGCGTCGAAACACGCTAGCCTCTGGGGCTTTTGCCGCAGAGGCTACCACTGGCGCCGGTGGTGACGCTGGTCGAGGAAAGAGGGCCAACGTGGTTGCTGCTGGCCATGTTCGCGCTGATCCTGCGTTCTCTCCTGCTCCTGCTCCTGCTCCTGCCCCCTCTCCTGCTCCTGCTCTCCCTCCTGCTCCTGCTCCCACTCCTGCTGCAGCTGCTGGTGATGCGCCCGTTGCTCCGCCAGGGCATCGAGATGCACGTGCCCGCCATAGCATGAACAGCCGCCGCACGCTGAGGAGCAGCTTGGGTGGATCAGGAGGAGGGGAAAGAAGGGGTGCTCCTGATGAGAGCAGCACGCGTGCAGCACGAAGCACTGGCCGCACAAGGACCACGCCTGCCCGTCAAGGCCGTCAGGAGAAGCAGTCTTGTGGGAATGGAGCTGGACGTGCGAGGATGGGGCATGAGGAGGAGCGGGAGATCGGATCCAGGGATGGGGGTTTGGGCTGTGCTGCTGACGAGGTGCGGGAGATCGCATCCAATGATGAGGGTGTGAGCCGTGCTGCGGAGAAGGTGCGGGAGGTGTGTGGTGTGGTTGAGAGGGGTGACGAGAGGGCAGGGAGACGTGAGAGTGAAGGGCTAGTCGAGAGTGTTGCTGGTTTGAGTGGGAGAGTCTTGCATGGGGATGGTGTGGGAGAGATAGAGTGTGTTGGTGAGGAAACGGCAGGAGAGGAGGGGGATGAGGATGTGGTTGAAGTGGATGAGAAGGTGGGTACACGGAAGTCCACAGCACGTTCAAAAGCAGAAAGAGCAGGTGGAGCAGAGAGAACAGGAGGAGAAGAGGCAGGTGGGGTGCAGGCGAAGGCATTGACAAAGGCAAGGGGTAACGGGAGGGGCAAAGGGAGGGGCACGGCGGGGAGCAAGTCGAGTGGTGAAGGGGATGAGGGGCAGCAGGGGGCAGAAGTGGCAGCACAGGGTGGGCACGAGAGACGAGAGCGTGGTGTTGACACTGTGTCAGGCAGCAGCAGCATTGATGTTTCAGAAGGGAGGGGCATGGTGGGGAGCAAGTTCAGTGGTGCAGGGGATGAGGGGCAGCAGTGGGCAGAAGTGACAGCTGAGGCTCGGGAATGTGGCTCTGACACTCTCTCAGGTAGCAGCAGCATTAATGCACGCTACAGCAGAAGGAGCTGCAGCATTGGGGCTGGGAGCAGCGTTGACTGTGGAGCGAGCAAGGAGAGAGTTCCACGGGCAGACGAGCAGAGCGTGAGGGAGAAAGGTGGTATCGGTGGCGAGGATGAGGGTCAAAGAGAGGAGGAGGGCGGTGTAGGGGCAGAGGTGGAGGAGGAGGAGGAGGTGGTGGAGGTGGAGGAGGAGGAGGATGGGGATGAGGTGGTGGAGGTGGAAGAGGAGGAGAAGGATGATGGGCTGCGTGCATTGCTTGCTGCCTGTCGCCAGCCACACATGTGCTCCATGGAGCAAGCCATCACGCAATTCTGGTATGTCACCTTGTCCCCACGCCAGCTTGCTGTAGAAGCATCTTTCCCTCTCTTCCAAACACGTCCGCCTTATCCTTACAGAAGTATGAAGCTATGTCTCATGTCCGTCCCCTCCCTCTTGACATCTCACCTTCAGCTCTTTTTGTCACATGCCAGCAATCAGAACACCCTTCGGAAGATAGAAGAGGGTTGTTGAGGCGCGTCAGAACTTGTTCCTTCCCCCTTGAAATCTTATTGTTGACTCTTTTTTGTCACGTGGCAGCGATCTGATGACCATCCGGAAGATGGGGGAGGGAAGCTTCGCGGAAGCGTTTGCAGCAGAGGGAGCGGAGGGAGGCGTGTGCCTCAAGATAGTGCCAGTTGGGGGGCGAGTGCTGGTCAACGATGAGCCGCAGAAGGTGAGAGTGGGTGCAGTGCGGTGAGAGATGATGCTGCTTGGTGCAAGTGGGTGCAGTGATGTTGCATGTTGAGGAGGGAAAACTAGAGCGCCTCAAGGTAGGGCCAGTGGGGAGTCGAGTGCTGGTGAACGATGAGCTGCAGAAGGTGAGTGTGCTCCTCTCTTGGTCACTGCTGCGTGGTGAGAGTGGATGAAGTGAGTTGAGAGGCGGTGCTGTGTGGTGAAACTGGGTGCAGTGCTGTTGCACGTTGAGGAGGGAAATTGAGATAGTGCTGGTGGGAGCCGAGTGCTGGTTAACCATGAGCCACAGAAGGTGAGTCTGATCTGCTAATAGGAGTGTATTTCAAAGTCAAGAAGGAGTGTGTCTCCTTTAACTGGAGTGTGTCAGAGTGTCAAAAGAAGGTGGGTCCAGTCCAGTGCTGGTGAACGCGTACAGAGCCAGTCAAGGTCGTCCCGGTGAGAGTCCATCCATAGCATTGTGTGGTGCGGAGAGACACAATGCTAGCCGAGACACAAGGGATAGACCTGCATTTATCGCCTTGTGTCTCTGCTCCTCCCTCTGCTCCTCCCTCTGCTCCTCCCTCTGCTCCTCCCTCTGCTGTTCTGGCTTCTCCTCGTGGCCCTTGTGACTCTTCTCCTCGTGGCCCTTGTGACTCTTCTCCTCGTGGCCCTTGTGACTCTTCTCCTCGTGGCCCTTGTGACTCTTCTCCTCGTGGCCCTTGTGACTCTTCTCCTCGTGGCCCTTGTGACTCTTCTCCTCGTGGCCCTTGTGACTCTTCTCCTCGTGGCCCTTGTGACTCTTCTCCTCGTGGCCCTTGCGACTCTTCTCCTCGTGGCCCTTGCGACTCTTCTCTTCATGGCCCTTGCGACTCTTCTCCTCGTGGCCCTTGCGACTCTTCTCCTCGTGGCCCTTGCGACTTTTCTCCTCGTGGCCCTTGTGACTCTTCTCCTCGTGGCCCTTGTGACTCTTCTCCTCGTGGCCCTTGTGACTCTTCTCCTCGTGGCCCTTGTGACTCTTCTCCTCGTGGCCCTGGTGACTCTTCTCCTCGTGGCCCTTGTGACTCTTCTCCTCGTGGCCCTTGTGACTCTTCTCCTCGTGGCCCTTGTGACTCTTCTCCTCATGGTCCTTGCGACTCTTCTCCTCCTCACCCGCTCGCTGGCACTGTGGATTGAGATGTCTCATCCTCCTGGTTCTTCTTCCCTTCTCATGATCCTGGTTCTTCTTCCCTTCTCATGATCCTGGTTCTTCTTCCCTTCTCATGATCCTGGTTCTTCTTCCCTTCTCATGATCCTGGTTCTTCTTCCCTTCTCATGATCCTGGTTCTTCTTCCCTTCTCATGATCCTGGTTCTTCTTCCCTTCTCATGATCCTGGTTCTTCTTCCCTTCTCATGATCCTGGTTCTTCTTCCCTTCTCATGATCCTGGTTCTTCTTCCCTTCTCATGATCCTGGTTCTTCTTCCCTTCTCATGATCCTGGTTCTTCTTCCCTTCTCATGATCCTGGTTCTTCTTCCCTTCTCATGATCCTGGTTCTTCTTCCCTTCTCATGATCCTGGTTCTTCTTCCCTTCTCATGATCCTGGTTCTTCTTCCCTTCTCATGATCCTGGTTCTTCTTCCCTTCTCATGATCCTGGTTCTTCTTCCCTTCTCATGATCCTGGTTCTTCTTCCCTTCTCATGCACTAGATTGTTCCCATCTCTATGCCAAATGTGTTGTTGTGGTGTGTCATCGGTTGGTGGTGACGGATGCATGCATGTGCGCTATGGCATGGGCCATGGCACAGCACGGCATGGCTGGGTATGGGCCATGTGTATGGTATGGGCATGTGTATGGTATGGGCATGTGTATGGTATGGGCATGGGTATGGGCATGGGCATGGGATGGGCATGGATATGGCATGGATCGGGCATGGGATGGGCATGGGCATGGGCATGCACGAAACAGAGCATAGGAGAGATGCTGGCGGAGGTGGAGGTGCAGATGGCTCTGCAGCGGCTGCGGCGTGGCCACGGGCACGGACACAAACAGGGCCATCAACGTGGAGATGGGCATGGGGATGATGGGCATGAGAATGACCTGATACACTCAACGACCTCCTTTATTGACTGTAAAGGGTACGTGTGTGTGACTGTAACGAGTATTTGTGTCGCTCTTGGCCCTGGCAGTTGACTCAAAAGCAACTGCCAGCATGCATACAGCCTCATGCCACAGAGCATCTGTTTTAGCTCTTGACCAGAAGCAAAATCGGGGTGCATGTGCGCAGTGGGGTGCACCCACCGTTTGAGTCGATAAAAAAAGGAGACGAGAGCGTGTCCTTGACACACAATGTCTTCTGAGAATTCTAAAACGAGCACGAAAATGAGGCCTTGGTACACCCTTCCCACCTTCTTGCCATTCTCTCCTACCACGTGTCCTCTCCTCCCCTATCCCCCATCACCTGTGTGGTTGAACGAGCAGGGTGCGCATGTGCAGGGGGGTTTACTCGCCTGTGCTCGTGCGGGCATGGGAGGAGTGGGCAGATGAGAACGAGTCACTCAACGACCATCCAGGCATCTTCCCTTCTGACCAGGTGATCTGATCACGGCACATGGCACTCCATGCTTCTTCTTCACTTCCCCTGTGACCAGTGGATCGTGGCAGTTCGTTCTCTCTTAGCTTCTCAGTAATCAGGTTGCCGTGGCACTTCACGTTTCTGAGTTTTTCAATCGACCCAAACTCCTTCCTGTGTGATCAGGTATGTCATGGCGCTTCAGTCATGCTTTTCAGTTTGAATGAAGCTCGTTTCGTAACTTTTAACAATTCTCAAAAATCATGGCGCTTCATTCACGCTTTTGAGTTTGAATGAAGCTCGTTTCATGGCACGCATCATGGTCGTCTTCCTTTCCTTCCTCTCTCCCGCCCGACCCTCGGACTGGCAAACCTTGTCTGCTCCTTGAGCTGGTTGGTTGGTTCCAAACCGCTTACCATAGCTGACTAACATAAGCTCGTTTCGTCCTGAGCAGGCATACGTTGTCTTTATTCTGGAGATGGGCGGCAGCGACTTGGAGAAGGCTCCAGTGCGTTCCTTTGATGAGGCACGCAGCATCCTGCTGCAGGTGAGACGGTGGAATGGTACTGCTCTAAATCAAGCTATACTGCTCGACAGCGTAGTGTAATTCTAGTGGCATCAGCTGCAAGTAAGGCTCTCTCAAGTGCGCTCCTTAGATGAAGCACGCAGGTGAGGCGGATGGGGCAGGTGAGACGAGTATTGCTGATTGCTGCTGCAGGGACAACGAGTGGAGCAGGAGCAAATGACGGGGCATGTGAGCATGTTTCGACTGAATGACTTTTGAGGCGCCTCAAAAGTCATGTGAGCATGTTTCGACTGAATGTTGCCCGTAATGTTTCGACTGAATGTTGCCCGTAATGTTTCGACTGAATGTTGCCCGTAATGTTTCGACTGAATGTTGCCAATATATATGTCGGCCGTACTGTTGCAATTTCGGGGACATTGGTCGAACAGTGCTCGACGGACATCGGCCAATCGCCGTCGAGCACCGTGCACCCCCGACGACACTGGTTACACCCGGTGGCAAGTCGCCAGGGAATCGCCTACACGGTGGCGCCGACGGTCGACGGTCGCGAAACGCGTTTCGCAACCGGCCGACGGTCGAGCAAACTGTCGCTGTCGGATGGGCGACTGGTCACGTCAGTCGCTGTCAAGCGGTCACGTCAACTGCTGACTGCTGTCTCAGTCTCCACGGGGAGCAACATCAGCCCAATGTCGCTGTACAGACCTGAATTCATAGTACAAGCACCACTGTTTCCTCAGCACGCCAGGATTAAGGGAGAACTGGTAGCTTTCGGTGGGCACTGATGGAGACCGATCCGTCGACGACAGCGCCTTCCCGGGAGGCGGACGTAGGACGTATACCTGTCGAATTGGAGTCCACATCGACACGACCCCCTTCGTCGTCTAGAGACAGGCCCCCTTCGACGATGCGTGCCATACCGGAGGTGGCAGCGCCCACCTCGACGTCGAGAGCCATACCAGTAGTAATACAGCCGGTCGTTACGGACCCACGTTCGACGGGTATTCCGGTCACTGTTGAAGTGGGTGGTGCACAGACCGAATTCCCTTCGACAGGTCAATCCATACCTGTTGTCGTAGAACCCATCTCGACAACAAATGCCCCCTTTACACACGAGGCTCCAGCTCACCGTGCACCATCGTCGACAGCCCACCGCTCGACGGAACCTTCGGCTGGTGCACCGACCTCGACAGTTGGGCGACGTAGGAGAGCGACGGCTGTTCCGCCTGAGGTTCGCCAACCACACCCAGCCGGTACATCCGCTTCTCGAGCTGACCCCGCCGCTCGTAGGCGCACTTCGACGAGACCAAGCAGAGAGGACTTGGCCAGGAACGTCCCTGAAGCGACGGACGATGAGGATGTTCGGACGGGAGAACAGCAGGAGGCGGACGATGTCGAACCGCCGGACCCTCTGCGGCCTGCTGCGGCAAATATATCAGAGGAGGATGCCGCGCACATTCTCGGCGACCAACCGGGCGCAGACAATCCGTACTTGGCGACCGGAACACTTAAAAGCAGGATTCTCCGGTGTGAGGTTCCGCTGCTGGGAGTTGACCAGGATTCCACACGGCCGAACTATGTCTCTGGAAGCATGCACTACAAAGCTTGGGCCTGTAAAATTCTGGCACCCGAGAGAAGCAACGGAGTGCCTAAAGAGGAGCAGGTGATCTACGAGGACGAGATCGGTAGGGAGATCGGCGACGATATGGGGCCGAGATGGAGGGAGGCGCTGCGTAACGAGGAGCACCTGCATGGGCCGAAAATAACGAAATGGCGCTTGCGCGCGTACGTCGAATACATGTCGACTGAAACCGACCAACAGGCGGCATCGTTGGACACAGGCCGGTCCAGAGTCGCTGGAAGGAAGGCAAAAAAAAGCACCCCTCCGATGATGCTGGCGCGCCTCACTGCGCTGACGTGCTTCTGCAGAGTAGAGGCCATACTCTTCGACGAGCCACTAACGAAGCCTTTGGACGACATCACCGAGGCCCGGCAGCTTCTTGCGGTCAAGCTGCGGCAGCTGCACGACTTTCAGTTCGAGTAAGTAGGCTCCCATGCACCGGACTCTAAAACTCACCGCTCAAATTCTCACCCAAGTACTCGCTGTATCTGCCCACCCAATGCAGGCAGTGCGTCGATCCACACCGGGGCTCGCTCGACGATGTTTACACGGAGGAGCAGTTGCGCATTCTCGTTTCAGACATCCTGCCGTACTGGGCCAAGGAGTACTTTCGGGAGTCGATGAGTTACCCCAGTCAGTCGCTGTGGAGGGCCTTGGCCGTGAGGGTGATGATCCTGATGGCGCATCACATGCTGGGCAGGGGGATAAGCATCCGCGAGATCCGCTACTGCAATATGTTCACTCACGTCCTTCCGCCCATCACGAACAGCAAGGGGGAATCGTCGATCCACGTTCTCGTGGTCGCCTATCGCAACTCGAAGACCATCAAAGACAACAAGCTCGGCCACCTGTACCTGACTCGACACATGGACTTCCGGCAGTGCGGCTTCGGAGCAGTGTTCATGTGGATACATTTCATTTTCGACCTTGTGCCGCTCCACTACAACAACGATAAGTTCGTGCCCCCCTTGGATTTCAGCAACCCGGAAAACTGGTCAAAAAAGCACCTGTTCTTCGCCCTCTTCGACAGGGATAAGACCGAGTTGCCGTACGCGACTCATGCCAAATGGGTTACCTGGGCGATGAAAAGCGCGGAGTGGATCCTGTCGAAAGTCACACATATTTTTCGACGGTCTGCGGCACAGATCCTCGCCGACAAAAACTGTGAACTCGACAACATCGCGCAGCTGGGTCAATGGGACATGAACGAGATGCGCAGGTCATACGTCACAGGCATCCCGCGAGGGGCCATCCAGCTGCAAGCGGGTTTCACGACGGAACCCGGTGACTATTACCTTGGAAGATCGAAGACCGAAATACCCGCGAAGGTCCTGAAGGCTATCGAGGAGCACATATTTCCAAAGGCGGAGCAGTGGCTCGACGAGGTATGGATGCGTCGAGCGCTTTGCGTGATCATCGAATGCAAAAACTTGCATTCGATCTATCTCTCAATGTCACCCTGTTTGTTCTTGTTCAGGCGATGGAATGGAACAACGAGCAGGACAAGGAGCATATGTTCTTCGCAGCGAAAAGTTTCTTGAAGGCCCTGCAAGTCGCCCGAATGCCCATCGCCGAGGATCTTGCGATGTACTACGTCCATTGTGACGACCACCCCTTCGACGGAGTGACTGTTTGCGACTGCGAGCGTCACCCTTATGTACAGATGTCCGGTTTGTGCAAGGACATGGATTTCCAAAAATGGGCGCTTGACGTGTACCTGCTCGACAAGTACGGCATCGAGATGCGGACCAACCCCACACTGTCGAGAGCCTCTGTAAGATGGCCCTTACAAATTTTAATCCGAACAGATTGCATCAGCCCACTTACCTACCGCTCGTGATCTTATGCGCAGGACGCATCCTTTCAACTCAACACCAAGCACCTCATCACGCAACTTCGGGCAGAGGTAAACTTACACAAGGAGGAGGGTGGGAAAAAAGAAATCAAGATCAAGGGCCTCGAGCAGAAGGTCGAGTCATTGGAGCGGGAGAAGGCCGCGATGCAAGCGGAGTTGGAGGTGAAGGCAGAAGCACTCGCTCTACTGCAGAAAGCGTTCGACGCACTGAAGATTACCGCCGCGACAACTGCAGCTGCGAATGTAGGGGGGAGCGAGAGTGTGCCGCAGACGGCGACCGAAGAAACCACCCCGCCACCACAGCAGCCCCCTCAATCAACACCCACTCAACAGAGCACGGACAGCCAGCTCGACCAAACATTCTTCGACGCAGTGGTGTGGCCGTGGTGCACTTGCGAGACCGTGCGGCAGGCGTGGTCGTACTGGGACGGGCCCAGCCCGCTGAACGACGGACACAGTCTTCGACACGCTTACAGGAGGGGTTTCGCCGTCAAGTACAGCAAGTTCACTCCGACTCCTCCCACCGTTCCACCCGGTGCGGTGGACCAGCCAGCAGAAAAGCCACCGACCCCAAAAGCTGTCGAGTCGAGATTGCGGAAGATGGAGGTTGTCATGAGGGCCGTCGAGATGTTCAGGGTCGATGAAAGCAGGGCGGCTACGTCGACGATCATTGATAAGCTTGACTCAATAGTCAAGAACCACTCGATCAACATGCTGGCTGAAGGGCTCGTTCTCAAAGAGGATTCGGGGAAGCAGCTCACGAAGAAGCGCAAAATCGAGACAGCAGATGACAACCGGAAGGACAAAGATCGCCTCAGGATCACGCGAGAGCTCATTCGCGTCGAGCTTCGAACCACGAAATGGGCTGAGAACGTGTTCAAAGACAAATGGATCGAGTTCATGAAAACATTGGGCGAGAGCCCAAGTTCGACAGGCAATCGTGACGAGGGGGGAAACTAGAGTAGGGTGTTCTTTCAGAGATTGCATGGCAGGTTCTCATTACTGACCGACCATCTCGCCTGTATGAACCTTCTGAGCATTATCGCAAACGGAAAGTCAAGATCCATGCAGAATGTACATTCTGTCGATTTCAACAAGCACAAATGTCGAGAATAGCAAACACCCCCACGCAAAGCGCCCGCCTAGACTACTCCCCTTGCCCGCCCGTTTCCGTCTCAGCTGCATCCTCGTCGCCCTGCTTCGCCTTGCTCTTTTCTTCTGGCATAGCCAGGCTGCCATAGCCCGCGTCCTCCAGCAAGCGGGCAGCAGCTCGACAGCAGCACCATTGCGTACAGACCTGCGCTGCCACGCGCAGCATCTGCAGCAGTGTGGCGTCCGTCGAGCCGAGACCTTCGACAGCGGACGAATACAGGTGATCGGGCCACTGCTTCGCCGGGAACGTCTTGCCGACGTGCAAAAGTATGGACACGAGTGCGGACATGGCAGCCACACAAGCCTTCTTTGCAGTCTCCGGGGCGTAGATCGCCGCGTTTGCGGCAGCTAGGGCATCCTTCTTAATATCCTCCCTCGACAACTTCCTGCTGGCCGCCCACAAGCTCGCCACAGTTGCTGCGATGGCCATCATGTGAGGTGTCGCCGCCATGCCCTTCGGGACCGGGTAAATCAGATTCCCGTGCTTCAGGCCAAGGGTCGCGACCTTACCAATCGCCACGCACAGCGCGATTCCCCTCTCGGTTCCAGCTTTCACTTCCTTTTTTGCCGTCGCCAAGAGCGACAGGTAACTGCACATCGCAAGAAATGCGTGAGTCAAGAGGCCAGAATTCGACCGACAGCACATTCACCGCAAAACAGATGGTGTTCGACAATTCACCAAAACAGCAGGAACTCGACAGCAGAGTATAGCAACATGACCACGACAGAACTTACTCGTCGAAACGACATTCCCCTTGTTCTTGCGCCACGCTCCAAACGCCGGTTGGCATTTCTGCGGCCGCATTGAGGTAGTCCTTCCAGTCCTCCTCATCCTGCGCCGTGTACCCTTCGTACTCCGTAAGGACAACGTCGGGGAAGTACACGCGCCAGCAGACGGCCGTACAGAACTTCTGGTCCTTCTCTGTTTCAAAAGTGCCAAGGAACCGCTTCCTCCCGCCGACGGTCTGCTCGGAAACCGGCTTCCCCTTCCGCAACCCAAAACCCGGTCCTTTGAAGGGACGTTTGCAGCCTCTCGTCTTGCCTTGGTCGTCCGGTCGAGGAGGTGGGGTGTGACCCGTGACCCTGGCCTTCTTCGCCTTTTCCTGTCGAGCAGCAACGACAATAGAGGTCTTCTCGACAGTCGCCTGACCAGGGACGCTGGCCAGCTCCACCACGTCAAGGCTCTCTGTCGCGTGTGCAGCGCGCTTCGACGACTTCGTCGCAGCCGGCTTCTTCTTCGACGTTGAAGGGGAGCCCGGATCGCTAAGACTAACGTTGCCTAGGGACGGAGCAGCGGCGACAGGCGCAACTGGAGGGGTCGAGGAAGACGCCCAATTTCCCGCAAGCCCGACAGCAAGGCCAGCACCACCGCCTTGCGCAGCTGAAGCCGCTTTTGTCTTCGACAGCAACCCAGCTCTTGCTTCTCCCGCTCCTTTCCCCGCACCGCCGCCTGACGGGGTAGAGGCACCTCGCATTCCTAGAGCTCTGTTCCCGGTCGAGGCGACGTGCTCCTTCGGGGCACCACTTTTCTCCCCCGCGACCACTCCTTTCCCACCCGTTTTCCCCATGCCTTGCAGCATGTCCCGCATCGAAGCAAACGCATCAGGTGGATCGATCGGAGCCGCTACGGAGGTCTTCGGGCGGGGCGACTGGTCGAGTACGATGACTTCCTCGACGGGCTTGGCGACGGGATGACGGCCACGCGCCGGTGGGGATCCAACCGGGCTACCGACATGTCCTCCCACCGAAGAAGACGGAGGAACCGACCGCTCGTGACCACGAGGCTCAGCCCCGCTGCGAACCCCTCCCACACCCTCCTGACGCGACCTCGTCGACGGGCCCGCCGAGCGCTGAAAACCTCTCGCCATCGCTTCGGTGAGGACTTCCAACCTCCCTGCTTCGGCTTCATGGTAGCCTTCCCTCACAATGTCCTTCAGCTCCTTCATGGTCTCGGGTGGGAGGGTGGAGCAGAACATGTCCTCCATCATGGCTTTCTCGAAACCCTTCAGCACCGCAGCAACCAGCCGCTCCTCGACCTGCTTGAGCTGCTTCTCGACGGCGTCTTCGCTCGTTTTTGTGATGGCGGCTGCCACCCCCTCGATGATCTTCCCGCTCATCTCGTCGATCTTCGCCCGCGCCCCTTCCAACAGGTTCCTCTCCGCCGTGACACCCTTCACAGCCTCGGCGCACTGCGACAGTGTGCTCTTCGACGACTCCGAAATCGTATTCCACGCCGTCCGAAAATCCGCAGCAAGCCTGTTGAATACTCCGGCTTGCTCAGTGTGTTTCGCAAAGACATCGGCGACGAGCTGCTTCTACGACGCCTCGACCTTCTCGACCCTCTGCAGTAGCTCGACGACCTGGCCTCCCGGTGCAACGTTCACCGTCGACTGGCCTGCCGTCGAAGGCCACCAGGTCGAAGGGCCCGCCTGTCCGCTGCCACTGGCCGTGCGGTGACTCCTTGTTACGGCGGCCTGTCGCTCATCTCCTCGACGATACTCCTCAGCAGCCTCCCAGTCCTCCTGCTCCTGCCCTCCCGACCCACCCACCCGCGCAGCCGCAACCCTAAACGCCTGCTGCTGCACTCCTGCCCCACCCTCCTGCGCAGCCGCCACGCCCTCCTCCTGCTGCCCTCCTGCCCCGCCCTCCTGCGCAGCCGCCTCGCCCACCACCTGCCGCTGCCCTCCGACCCCACCCTCCTGAGCAGCCGCTCCGCCCTCCTGCTCCTCGACAGCCTTAGTTTCCCCTGTCGCCTGCTGCTCGATAAGCTCTACTCGCTCGTCCACCCGCTCCCCGAGCGCCACTCCGTGCTCCCCCGTACGCTCCGTTCTATGTCTGGCGCCCTCGCCGTCGTCCTCGGCCGACTCATCGCTCGAGCTCGAGCCGGAGCTCGTTCCCGAGCTCGAGTCCTCGTCCTCGTTCGCATCGCCGCCCGGGCCGCTCGCCCCGTGCTGAGCCTGCCTCGATGTATCCTCCTCGATCTCCTCCTCCTCCTCGACGCTGTACTCAATCAGGACGCGTCCCGTCTTCTCGCCTCCTCCCTCGTGGTCGGCACCCCCTCCCACACCTGCTCCCTCCGCCAGCTGGTCGATCTTTCTCGAAAACAGCTTCACCATGAACAACGGAAGCACACCCGGGCCAGGGTTCGTTCTCCCTAGATGCACGAGTTCGCCCTTTCGAGGCTGTAGGATGAAGTCGTCCCATTTCGTCAGAATACGGCGCACCCCATGCACGACACGAGCTGCCGCGCCGTTTTCAAAGGGGCTCGACAAGGCCGTCGTCGCCTGCGACGGGTACAAAACATACGTAAGCGACAAAACACATGCTCGACGAAAACGCCGGTGGTCTAAGGAGAGCTTACCAGATGGTCGAACTCCTCGATCAACTCCAGACGAAGGTCCATCACGTTCAACACTTCTTCGTCGCCCTCGGTCAGAGCCTGGTGGGTCATCGCGTACTCGGCGCGAAGCTGCTTCTTCATCCACCTGCGACGCAACGGACAGAAGAGTAAGATTGTCGAGAACAGCAGATCGACAGCAGGGTGGCAAACCTGTCACTCACACGAAAACTTCTTGCGCCAGGGAAGATTGGTGGTTCATCTCGGGAAATTTGTCTTTCGAATCGAAGTGCATCATTCGAGTTCGACTGCCGCGGTGCCTCGGAGCCAGCAGATCGTCGGGGCGCGATACCACAAACAGGCTCGAGTGGGAGAACGGAGGCACACTCAGTCTGCATGCAGAGCCAATGCACGTGAGAACGGGTTCAGGGCTAAAGACGGAGCACGCAAGGCGACGGGAGAGTAGGCGACGGTAGAGTGTCGAACTCACGGTGTCCGCAGCAGAACGAAAACCACTTGCTTGCCGAGGAGGCCGTCGAGGTGGTTGTTCGCAAAAGCGACCGGGGTGGGGCGTGCCATCTCTTCACGCGCACGCGTCGGAGTCACGATCGACACCTTGGGGAGCTGCTCGACGGACAGCAGCTCATGACAGAACAGGCTGCACGGAAAGCTAAGGCAACGTCAGCGATTGGTAAACCCAAGCATGGCAAACCGAAAATGTTCGACAGGACACGTACACGACGCCCGCGACCATCATGCTCTCGTCGAGCTCTCCTTTCGGCGCCTCTCTAATCGCATTCAGCTGGTCCTCGTACACCTCCACCTCGACCCCGCCGGCACTAAGGATGAGGCCGCGTCGAACCGTCGCCTCGTTCATGACGGGTACGGAGGCGGAGCTCGTAGCCATGTCAGGCCTAGCAGTGGAGAGGGCGGGCGTGCAGGGGAGTCGGGAACTAGCAGGGACTAGGAAGTAGGGAAGTAGAAATCGGAAACACCAACAAAATGAGACCGGACGAAGGGTATTACCTGTTTGCCATCCCTCCCACCGCGACGGACCAGGGGGGTTCAAGGGCGAGGAGGCAGGGCGCGTTCCATTGACGCTGGAGGAGCTCTTCGCGGAGGCCGGCGGGGCCCTATTGGCGTCGACGTGAAACGTGGGGTGGGCCCCCTTGCGTGCAGCCGAAAGGCCCCTTCCAAGGTTCGGGAGGGGGCCTTCGACACGTCACCAAAATCGTGCGGGTTGAACGAAACGGGTTGAACGACATCGGTGGAGCGCGGCGCAGATGGGCGTCGATGTCGTCCGGCCTGCGAAATTTCGCCGACTGGTTCCGTCGGCGATGCGTCGCTCGGCGAGGGATGGGCGGGTTACCGGACGGAACCCGTCCACGAACCGAGCGAGGGGTTGGGCTCGGTGGGGAGGGGGACCACTGCGCGGGCTGCTGGCGTCATCGGCAGCTGGCGCCAGCAGTTTTGGGGCGGGAGGGGGGGGTCGGCTCCCGCCCCTCGCGTGCTTCGCTAGGCGACGGCGGGAAATCGAAAATCCCTCCGAGGAAAACCCGCAGGGGCGAACGGGTTTCCGCGGAGGGATTCGGGCGACGTCTTCCCCGTAATGTTTCGACTGAATGTTGCCCGTAATGTTTCGACTGAATGTTGCCCGTAATGTTTCGACTGAATGTTGCCCGTAATGTTTCGACTGAATGTTGCCCGTAATGTTTCGACTGAATGTTGCCCGTAATGTTTCGACTGAATGTTGCCCGTAATGTTTCGACTGAATGTTGCCCGTAATGTTTCGACTGAATGTTGCCCGTAATGTTTCGACTGAATGTTGCCCGTAATGTTTCGACTGAATGTTGCCCGTAATGTTTCGACTGAATGTTGCCCGTAATGTTTCTCCATTCCTGTCATCCCTCCCCGTCTATGTGTATCTAACGCCCCACCTCATTGGATCCCTTTCCACCGCAGTCTGCTGCACTGTCCCTCAATTTGCACTAATGCCCCACTTCACCTGCCACCGCACTCTGCCCCTCTGTACCGCGTCAACCCTACCACAGGTGGCAGCAGGGCTGGCAGTGGCGGAGGCAGCGTGTCAGTTTGAGCACCGCGACCTGCACTGGTACGCTGTGGTGTGGTGTGGTGCTGTGCGGTGTGGCTGTGGTAAGCAGTGGTGTGGTTGTGGTACGCAGTGGTGTGGCTGTGGTACGCAGTGGTGTGGCTGTGGTACGCAGTGGTGTGGCTGTGGTACGCAGCGGTGTGGCTGTGGTAAGCAGTGGTGTGGCTGTGGTACTGGTATGCTGTGGCGGTGGCGGAGGCAGCGTGTGAGTTCGAGTGCTGCGCCCTGCACTGGTGGTACGTTCTGTGTGGCAGTGGCACGCTGCGGCATTGCCAATGAGTAGCGGAAATGGTATGCTGTGCAGAGTGGTCGTGCGGGTTTGTCAAATTCAACGCGTTGGTATGTGGCATTGACCATATTCATTCAACTCCCTTTCTCATGCTCCCGCTGCCCCAACCCCATCCACGCAGGGGCAACATCCTCATGCATCGCACAGGCACAGTGTGATAAGTCGAGTTTTGAGTCGACTCAAAACTCGACTTATCTCCACGCAGGGGCAACATCCCCATTCATCGCACAGGCACAGGCGCCTCAGAGGGCGGGCAAGGACTGGAGTTTTGAGAATTCTCATTCATCGCACAGGCACAGGGGCCTCAGAGGGCGGGCAAGGACTGGAGTTTTGAGAATTCTCATTCATCGCACAGGCACAGGGGCCTCAGAGGGCGGGCAAGGACTGGAGTACCACTCACAGGCGCGAGCAGGCAAAGGCCCTGCACGGTTGCAATGCACTATCCGCTCAGCTCCCCTCATCGCTATCCCCTCCCATTCTCCAAAAGCCTACCCTTCCACCCACCCACCCAGGGGCAATGTCCTCATTCATTGCACACAGACAAGCGGGCCCCAGAGGGCAGGCAAGGGCAGGAATACCAGTCACAGGCGCGAGGGGGCAAAGGCCCTGCTTGACTGTACTGCATTATCGGCTCAGTGGTCATCTCTATCTCCCTCCCATGCTCCAAAACCCTAACCACCCACCGATCCACCCACCCACCACGCAGGGGCAATGTTCTCATTCATCGCACACAGGCGAGTGGGCCACAAAGGGCAGGCAAGGGCAGGAGTGCCGCTCACAGGAGCGAGCAGGCAAAGGCTCTGAGTGACTGCACTGCGAGCATGAACAGCACTGGGAACAGTAGTGCTTCCAGCAACGTAAGCAGTAACAACAGTGGTAGCCGCAAGGGAGAGGGCGAGAGCGGGCAGTGGTTCAGGCTGAACGGGCAGCAGCGGAGCTTCCATGACAAGGGCGTTCGTGTGGCCATCATTGACTTCTCCCTCTCTCGTCTCCAGTCAGGTGCCATTCTCTCACAGCCTTATCAGACTTGCTTCTCTTCTCTGGTTCAACTGCATCTGCATGCATGCTCTTGATTTCCTTTCCTCAGAATAATTGCTTAAAAAAAAAAAAAAAAAAAAAAAACACACACACACACACACACCTAATCGCCCAAATGAGATTTCCTGGTTTGCCTGGAACCAAACTGGTGTGCTCGTGCGGCAGGTGCTCGAGTGCATTTCAGCAACCTCTCCCAAGAGCCATCCATTTTCCAGGGCGATAAGGGCCACCCCCAGGTGAGTGCTGCTCCAGGTGGGTGCTGCCCCAGGTGAGTGCCGCCCAGGTGGGTGCTGCCCCAGGTGAGTGCCGCCCAGGTGAGTGCCGCCCAGGTGAGTGCCGCCCAGGTGAGTGCCGCCCAGGTGAGTGCTGCCCCAAGTAAGTGCCGCCCAGGTGAGTGCTGCCCCAAGTAAGTGCCGCCCAGGTGAGTACCGCCCAGCAGTGCCGCCTCAGCCCTCAGGTGCAGTGCTGCCTTAGGTGAGTGCCACCCCAGGTGCAGTGCCAGCCTCCAGCCACAGCAGGTTCTACTTTCAGGCTTTATGAATGCACAGGGCCATTTGGCTCCTTTCTTTGTGTCCCCGCCTCTTTTTCCCTTTGTAACCAAGGTGCACAGTGCTGCTTTCCATGTCCGCCTGTAGTGCTTCCCTAAATCAACAATCTTGCTCCCAACTACTGAATCATGCGGTGGTGTGCGGTGCTGTGTGGTGGTGCGCGGTGCTGTGTGGTGGTTCGTTCATAACTGCAGTTTGACACGTACAGAGAGATGAAGAACAAGACCAAAGGACGCTGGGATAGATGGTAGGTAGTCGTTTCGAGGCGCCTCAAAAGAACCAGGTTTGGTAAACAGCATGCATTGGCCCCTACAAGCTGCATGCCTTGCTTCCATAAATCACCCTATCATGTTGTTAACACCCCTGTGCTTTCATCCCTCACCTCTCCTTGCAAACATGCACATCCGCGTAAGTTGAGTCGATTTTTTAGTCGACTCAAAAATCGACTCCTTGCAAACATGCACATCCGCGTGAGTTGAGTCGATTTTTGAGTCGACTCAAAAATCGACTCCTTGCAAACATGCACATCCGCTTTCTCAAACCTACTCCTTCCTCAGCGTCACTCGCACCCGCTGCCACTCAAAGCCAAGCCACCATGCCTCCCCTCATCCTCCTTCTCATCGCTCTCGCCCTGCCTCTCTGTGTCGTCTCTTTTCCCTCTCCCAGGTGTCCTCAGACCAACAGCCTCTGGCTCAAATACTTAGCAGAGATGCTGCAGACGGGCAAGAAGATTGTGAGTTGTGTTGTGTGCAACTAAGCAATAGTGGGGATGTGTCGTAGTGATGTGTATTTGGAATTGAATGTGGAAAGAAGGGGTTATTGCGGGGAAATTAGTATACGGTTCTGTATGACGGCGGGTCTTTGGTGAACAACAGCGAAAACCGGAAGATTTATGGGAACGGATCCCTTGCTTACCTATTCCCCTGCTTCATTCCTGTTTTTGTACCAGTAGCAAGCTCCATGCGCCTAACCTATTTTCTGCAATTTCGTTTCAGCGCTTCAAGGCCAGCGAGAAGAGGGCCATCATCCAGTTCAAGGAGCGCATGGCTGCATGCCGTTCTGCAAAAGCTGCGCTTGATGATGAGCTCTTCAACAACCTTTGGCGCTCCTAGAGTTATGGGGAAGAATAAAATCATCTTAAGTGAAAGGTTGGAAGAAACGTGAATGAATTGGGCAAGTATGGACTTTGAATTTCAGAGTTTTAAAGGGTAGCTCTGTGTTAAACCTAGTCTTCGGGCTATATATGATATGTCTGAACTGAATTTTTTTTTATATATAATTGTAAGTGTACACCGACAAGACAAGCAAATACTGACAAGAACGGTCGTAACCGTGCGTGAGGAACTAGAGGGGACCTCTTGCTCCAGATGAGATTCTAGGGTCTGATGCTCCTGACCCTCCTTGCCGACCAGATTGCTGCAAAACCATTCGTCCACTTCAGACCTTTGCCATCCACTTTGATCCTTTCAAGCATGTTCCACTCCTCCGATGAACCACGCTGCCTCTGTTTTCGCCACGTCGGCCCGAACTTGTGAGTGTACAGTTTCACGTGCTGCCGAAAAGCCACCTCAATCCGACGTAGGACCCGTTGGGACCGGAATTTCTGCCCTCTGAAGACAGCTTCGCACCGCTCGAGCCACAGTTGGTGGAAAGCAATTGATGTTAGCGTCAGCTCCGGAAAAGCTGAGCTGGTGCCGGTATCCCGGAACAGAAGAGCCCCCAGCGAGTCTGTTGTGCGGCCAGGATTTAACATGCCCAGAGCGCGCTGAAGAGCTGTAGAGACCACTTGAACTCTAGGGCACAGGACCAGGCAATGTTCCAGTGTCTCCGGCTCTCCGCAGTAAGGGCAAACCGGCTTGCTGCTGAGGAAAGCCAGACGCTCTCCCACCTGCAGATTTAGACCGTGGATGCGTGTGAGCACATCGCGCAGACGGCTAGGAACCGCCAAAGAGTCGTACGTGCTCACAACCTTCTTCCAGTTGATGCTCTCACCCCATCGTGCCGCCCACTTGGCGCGCTTGTATGACTCCTTCTGAGCCTCCTTCCACCCTTCTTTCATCCGCTTCATGGGGATGATGCCCCCATCCACCAGGACGTTCAGCAGCTGAGGAGAGGCAGCCGAGCAAGGGAGGACAGTTGGAAACCCTAACTCTCTGTACCACCCGGCAGGGAGAGAGGCTACTGCCTTCAGCGCTAGCTTCGCCGGACCGTTGCTGCCCAGAAGCTCCGTTAGTTCTGCCACAGATTTCTGCACAAGCACTCCTGCTTCACTGCTTGTGAACAGATCCTCCAGCCGCAGGTCCCACAGCTTCCTGGCGTCCTTCTGACCGCCGATAGGCGTGGTGTCGCGTAACAGAATATTTTTGTTGAAAACCACCCGCTCTTGAAGAATTTCATTCCTCGATGTGGCCGGGGCACGCAAACACAGCGGCGAGCCAGCGAGGCTCTCACACGTCTGCTTCCACCGGACGCTGCCGCCTTCCCAGTGCTTGAATAATTTCTCGTGCGCTGCAAAAGAGTCCGTACCCAAAGGGAGCTTCGCCGCCCGCATCATCAGGTCCTTTTTTAGTATGTTGCTTTCCGTGATGTACAGCCCCGCCCTTCGTGCTGCCAAGCAGGTAATAACAATCTCAGGGTCCCTCACTCCGATTCCACCCGCAGCTCTCTCTGTGTACAGCAACACTTTGCTCCAGAGAAAAAAGCCTTTCACCGTTGACACCCTGTTTCCAGATGTAAACCCGTGTAACATCCGCACCAAGTCCTCCTAGATGCTTGCAGGTGGCGGGAAGACTTGGGCCTGAAAAGCAATAAGCGATGTGATCTAGTAGTTCACCACGGTTGCTCGTGCCGCTGTAGTCAGATACTTCTGCTTCCATTTTACCAGCTTCTCAGTGATGCGCTCCAGCGCCTTCTCCCATGTTTTCTGACCATTACCAGAAGGAGTCACCCACACCCCCAACAGGCGCTCGGCATCCTCTGCTCCCGCCCATTTGAAGCTAGACATGCCATCAGCCACAGCACCGATGTTCACACCCAAAGGTAATATCACTGATTTTCCTTTGTTCGTAGCCAACCCCGCCACTTTCTCAAAGTTATCCAGAATCTCCTCCGCTTTGACGATCTACTCTTTTCCCTGCAGGATTAACGTGGTGTCATCAGCGTACCCGAGGTAACTGAGCTGCTGCCCTTTCTTACTGAGCCCCAGCTTCTCCCTCTCCACTTCCTGAGCCAACGGCTCCACCGCACACAAGAAAAGGTAAGGTGCAAGCGGGCAGCCTTGCCTGACCCCCGAGACCACGTTTAACCCTTCACCAAGCCAGCCATTGACCAGGAGCTTCGTCGTGGTGTTCTCATGCAGGCCTTCAATCCAGCCTACGTACTGCTCCAGGAATCCCATCTTCCGAAGCACTTGGAAAAGGAAGTCCCTCGACACCGAGTCGAAGGCTTTTTGGAAATCAACCAGCAACATGTACCGGTCGGCCTTTTCATTCTTCGCCACATCGATGATATCTGCGACCAGCGCAACTGCATCCGACAGGCACCTTCCTAGAAGGAACCCGCACTGCTCAGGTGAGATGACCTGATGCAGAATCCGCTTCATCCGATCCGCCAGGACTTTAGCTAGCACCTTGTATGTGAAATTGAGGAGGGTGATGGGCCGGTAGTTGTTCAGCTGGTCCCGATCCCCATTCTTATGCAGCAGGATTGTGACCGCCTCCTTAAGCTCTACTGGAAGAGAAGCTGACACCTCGAAATCTTTAACCATCGCCATGAAACTCCCCCCCAGCAGGTCCCAGTGACACTCAAACAGTTCCTTCAGAAGACCGTCACCTCCAGGAGATTTGTTCCTCGCCATTGAAAAAAAGGCGGCCTTCACCTCTTCCTCTGACCACTCCGCCATTAACATCTCCTCTGCTTCTTTCCCCAAACGCCTGCTTGGGTTGAAAACCCAGTTCGAGAAGTCTGTTTGCCGGTCCTTGCCGAAAATATTGTTGAAGAAAGCCGACTACCACCTCTAGGGGATATCAAGGATCAGAAGCAGTGAGAGTGACAGGGAGCACATGTTAAGCAAAAGGGAAGAAGGTAACACCACAGAGAGGAGGAGCACTATGCAATGAGCCAGGGGCAATACTCCGAAGGTGTCGATGGTACCAATGAGCAGGGAAGAGGGAAGAAGGAAGGAGGGTAGAAGGAAGGAGATGCGGGAAAGGCCATAAGGTGGGAAGAGGTAAGGGAATTTCCGAGAGCTGTCGCAAGTTTACGAAGCTCGTACGGGAGTATACATAATGTATATTTGTACAGGTAGTCGAGAGAACATGTACTGAGGATAGGGACCGAGGCTCGGATGATGGCTGGGCAATGTTGGGCTGCCGAGTCAGCAGACAGTCGCATGGGGAAGCGGGGAAGGAAGACAACTGGATGGAGTTTTTGCTTTGTGTGAAGAGTGCATGCTTTGTTTCCTTGCAGGTTGGATGCCCGAGCCAGCTGGAGTTACAGGCACGAGCTGGAGGTCAAGCAGTGGGGCGGCTAAGTGGCAGTGGCAAGAGGAGGAGAAGGCTGACCTTTCGCTTCGGTGGGAGGCCATCCCCTTCGAAGGGAGTGAGCGGTGTAGCAATAGGGGGAGGGTGCAGGATCGGATATAGGGGGTACGGCATTTGACTCTGTATTGTTTGTATGTTCTGTAAATACTCATGTGATTGCCTCAGAATCATGTGTGAGTGAGCGTCAGGCCATAACAAACCCTGGAGATATGGAGGAAGTGATGTTGTCGGTAGTCGTTACTAGATGGGAGTAAGCTGAACGAGCTTATCACAAACAAACAATCTTCGGCGGTACTAGTATGCGCACACGAGGAGGGACTGAATACGGCTTAGAAGAAGAAAACGAGAACGCGAAGGCGGCGGCAACTGGACGACCTGGAGTGATGAATCGGGGAACGGACATGGGGGTTGATGAGCCCCGGGACGATGGCTCGCCAAGACGGGACGCAGAAGGAGCGGATCGACCAGAAGGCGAGGAGAAGGAACCCCAAGGAGCGGCAAGAAAAGATGCACGATCGGAAGGAAGACCGATGCGTACGGCAGGGGGTGATCGTTCGACCGGCTCTTATCAGAGGAGCGGGTCATGGCAAGAGGATGCGTCCGCGCAGCGATGGAAATATACGCTGCTACCGAAAATTGAAGTCCCCGAGCGTTTTTCTGGCGACACACGGCGAGGTCCGACGATTAAAAACTACGTGATGCAGTTGGATAACCTGCGGGCCCGGTGGGAACGAGATCGGCTGGATCCAGAGGAGTTTTTCAGGGGACTCGCCAACACTCTAACCGGCGAAGCGGAAACTTTCTATCGCCTCAGCAGGAGAGAGTTGGTGGAGTGGACGGCGCGTGCAGCACCAGGAGAACGAGATCCGACAACGCGTTTCTTGAGTATGCTAGAAGACCAATTCCCAGCGCAGACGCCAGAGAGGGTAGCGGAGTTCAGGGAATTTCGCCGTCGCACGGGGGAGTCGCTATTGGCATACTACGGCAGGCTGGTGGAGCTGGCAGAAGATATGAGCTGTCAAGACACGAGACGGTTGGTCAGCAAATTCCTGAACGGACTGCACTATGATCTACGGCGAGACGTGGCAGTCCGGGTCTTCGAGATGGGGGCACAAGCTACGCTGAAGGAGGTCTACGAGGTGGTGAAACGGGTGGAAATCGGTCGTCGGCTGTGTGAAATTGAGACAACTACGGAAAGAGGAAGCGAGCGGAGGAGGCCAGCCTGGGCAGCGACACCAGTGGAAAGAGAGAAGCCACCACGTGGGGCAGGAGATGAACGGCGCTGCCACAACTGCGGCTAGATAGGGCATTTGAGGAGGGATTGCCGTAACCCGCCAGCCTGTTCCACTTGCGGGAGTGAAGATCATCTAAGGAGAGACTACCCCGATGCACCGACGTGTGACCATTGCGGAAGAAAGGGACATCAAGGGAAAGAGTGTTACGCCTCACGGAGGGAAGGACGAATAAAGAAAGATCCAAAAGAAGTGAAGGCACAGATCGCTCGTCTACAGCGGCAGCTGGAGGAGATGGCCGGACCAGAACAAAAGGGTAACGCAATGTTAGCAAGGACGGAGGAAGAAGATGAGGAAGGAAGCGAGGCCAGCTTCGCGCTAATGGCACGTCCTGTGCGGGAGAGGGGGGGACTCGGGTTACGAGCACGACACCGGTACTTCCCGCGAGAAACCCCAGTGCGGGAGCAAGGACCAAGGAGGGCCACCACGGAGGCGAGAACCGCGGGAGCTGCACGACGCCATCCCCTGGAAAGGATGGCATGTCAGCCGTCGGTATTGGTGGTGGAACCGGGGGTGATGAGTGTGGGTGGCGTCAGGGTCAAGCAGGCGATCGTGGATACCGGAGCGCATAATGTGTTGATTGGCGCGCCAATGGCCAAGCTGCTGGGATTGGACAGAGAGGACCGAGTGATACCCGAAGGCTACCTGCTGATGACCGCGGAGGGGGGCACAGCGAAGTGGATGCCGAAAACCCGCAGCACGGTGGAAATCGTGATCCGGCCGGGACATCAAGATGAGTGCATAGTGCGGATGCACTGTGGAGTGTCTACATCAGAGGACTACGATCTACTGCTGGGAGTGGAGTATTTGTTTGCCATCGGCACCACCATCTGCATGTGGGAAGAGCAGCTGAAGTATCGGGTGACTTATTGGGAGCACGACAGTGAGCTGGCGGAGCTACCGGTGCGGTTCATCAGAAGGGAACCGAGGGAGGCTTATCAAGCGATGGAAAAACCACTAGAAGAGGAGCTGGGCATTATGACGTGGAAGGAAATGGGGTAAACGGAGTCTGCCAGAAATCAGGACGAAGAGATATGGGGGGCCAGTGATAATCTGCGAGAACCTGTCTTGAACCTGAGAGCACTCCAGAAGTCGTTGGTGATACTGGAGCTGTATGACGGAATAGCCACCGGACTGGCGGCAGTGCTCAAGGAAGGACACACAGTGGCCAAGTTCCTATACGTGGAGAATGATGGCGGCGCAAACTTGATGGCCTGGCACCATCTCAGGCTGCTCAAAGCCAGATATCTTGAACAGCTAATGGAAGATGCGGCAGAAAGAGGAGCAGAGTGGCTATGCAGTGGAGTGGATGAGATTGATGATGGCATGCTAGCGGAATGGGGACGGATTGATCTGGTAATCGCGGGGTGGAGCTGTCAAGGGCTATCACGAGCAGGGAGGGGCCGAGGCATGGGAGACGCACGGAGCGCGCAATTCAGAGACCTGATGCGAGTGCTGAAGACGATTAAGAAGCAGCAAGGGGAGGTGGCCTACATCATCGAGAATGTGGACATGGCTGACGACCCACGTCCGGCGATACAAGCAGCCAACGAAGAGATCACGGAGGAATTGGGGGCAGGAGTGGCGTGGGATGCGGCACAGAATGGGAGCAGAGCACATCGGCCGAGGAGGTACTGGCAAAACGTGGTGCCAGAAGCGGCGCTGAGATATCAGCTGTCACAGATGGAGCGACCAAAGGCGAGACGGGTGGAAGACATTCTGGAGCCAGGGAGGCTGGCGGCACCAGTCACGGAAGCGGACCACCCCACGTTGTACGCGTGCAACAAGGTGGGCGAGCCTCGGGAGGCATGGCCAACGCTGGTGTCCTACGAGAACGCGAGGGGTTTCAAGGATGATGCGGGTCCGGGCATGGTATATGACCAGGCACGTGGAGTGTGGGAAGAGCCCACCGCACAGGAGAGAGAACTGGCCATGGGTTTTCTGGCAGGCGCAACGGCATGCGAGCAGATGACAGAGAAAGAGAGGAAGGCGGCGCTGGGCAGGGCTACGGATTTGAACGCCCTACAGTGGTTGTTCATGACCATGGCCAATCATCTCGAGAGGAAATGGCTGGAGAGGCGCATCGGCAAGGCAACGGCAGTTAGGCCACTGACACAACTGGCGGCAAACAAGGAAATGGAGGCAAGGACAATGATGGGCGGGTTGGAAGAAAAAGAAGAGAGTCAGTGGTGGAGAGGAATTCCAGAGGACCACAGGCGCGCCAGCTGGAGGGATGACACGGAAGCCATACTAGGGCGATATGCGGATCCTCCCGAGAGCGAGGAGGAGTGGAAGGAGGAGGAGGAAGAGATGGAAGAAGAATCTGGAGCTGGCAGAGGGGACACCCCAGAAGAATTTCAGGACTCCGATTTTGACATGGGAGAGGAATACTACGACTACTTCGACCCACCAAACTGGCTACCCATAGGACCCGCATTCATGGCACTGGAAGTGACGACAAGTGAAGCCGGAGGACAAGTTGCAGAGAATGAGAGGACGAACGAGCAACCGAGGGCTGGGACCGGAGGACAGGGAGAGAGCAGCACACATGGGACATAGGAGGAGGATTACAAGGAGCGCATCAGCAGGCTGTGGAGACACCGCTGTCCTCACACAGGCAGACGTTTGCCTACACGCTGAAAGAACTGGGCTGCTGCAACTGTGCGGTCATGACACTGGACCTGACCACGACGGTTCCGGTATATCAGCGGAGGCGTCGGATGAGCCCTCAGGATTTGGAGGTGTGCAAGGAGAAGTGTCTGGAGCTGCTAGAAGCGGGGCTGATACGTCGGTCAGAATCCAAATACGCAGCAGTAACAGTGGTGGCAGCTAGGATGGACTTAACAGGAACGGTGTTGGCAAGGCGCATGTGCAGCGACTACCGGGACTTGAACAAGGTGACCGTGCCTAAGAGATACTCTACTCCTATGGTGGATGAGCTCTTCGACCAACTGGCAGGGGCTTGAGTGTTTTCTACGCAGGACATGAGACAGGGATTCAACCAGATCCCGATCGCAGAGGCTGATAAGGAGAAAACCGCATTTCACGGACCGGATGGGGTGTATGAATGGAACCGCATGCCCTTCGGGCTCAAGAATGCCTCATTGCTATTCCAGAAGGTGATGGATGCGGTGCTGCGGGGAATGGAAGGGGCCCTATGCTACATCGATGATGTGATCGTGTTTAGTACCACTCCAGAAGAGCACGTGGAACGCCTAGCCGAGGCGTTGCGAAGGATCAAGGAAGCGGGGCTAACTTGCCACCCAAAGAAGTGTCGCTTTGGGCACACAGCCGTGACGTACCTGGGATTCGAGGTGGCGGGAGGAAGACTGGCCATTCAGCAAGCAAAGGTGGCCATCCTGGATCAAATATCTCAGCCCAAAGACAAAAGTACCCTCAGAGCACTACTGGGGTTTCTCAATTACTATCGCAAGTTCGTGGAAAACTTCAGTAGGAGGGCGGCACCATTAAACAAGCTGCTGAAGGACGAGGCCAAGTGGCAGTGGGGTGAGCAGCAGAAAGCGGCGCTGAAGGATCTGATGGGAGCAGTGAAACATGGGGCAGTACTTCAACTGCCGAGGGCGGACCTACCCTTTGTGCTTTACACAGATTGGAGCAGCACGGGCATGGGGCCATCCTGAGCCAACAAGAGGGAGGGGAGGAGAAGGTGGTGGCGTTCGCCAGCCGTTCCTGCAACCCCGCAGAAGCTAACTACTCTTCATACGAGGGCGAGGGGCTGGCAGCTGTCTGGGCGGTAGGACACTTCCGAGTGTACCTGCAAGGCAGGCCCTTCACGCTGGTTACCGACCATCAGCCTCTGTTGTGGCTGATGCAGAATCAGAGCCTGACAGGAAGGAATGCCAGATGGGCGATGAAGCTGCAAGAGTACCAGTTCATCATTCAGCATCGCCCAGGGAAGACCATGTAGCATGTGGATGGTCTGTCCAGGAACCCGCCGGCAGTGGCGCCAGAAATGGCGCTGGCAACAATGGTGGCAGACCCTGTCACGCCGTTGCGCAAGGAGCAGCAGGCCGGAGCCACGGACGTGTGGGAAGATCCGGAGACGTTGGCATGGCTGAAGAGAGAGACGGCGGAAGGAACAGTGGTTTCAGCTAGGGCCCGAAGCAGGGGGCAACACTACCGCTGGTATCAAAATCAAGTGCAGATACGAACACAGGATGGCTGGAAGCGAGTGCCGGAGCCAAAGGAGAGAGAAGGAGTGACACAAGAGGTGCACAATGTCAGAATATTATTCTTATGTTCTAGCCTGTAGTGGGGTGCTCTATAGCGAGTACAACCCTTCTAGGGTTTGCTATTTGTATCCCCATTTCTGCTAGTTCATTCCCTCTTTCCTTTTTTCTTTCTTCTAACTTTTGTCATGCTATCAGAGCAGGTCGATCCCCTTGGATCGATCCTGTTGGTGGGTTACCACCTCGCTTCCGCTGCTACCTTTCCTTCCCGCCGTGCGCCCCGAGGCGCGCGGCGGTTTTCCTTCCCGCCGTGCGCCCCGAGGCGCGCGGCGGTTTTCTGCCCGCCGTGCGCCCCGGGGCGCGCGGCGGTTCTTTGCCCGCTGTGCGCCCCGAGGCGCGCGGCGGGCGTCTGCCCTACCTTCGCGGGCGTCCGCCCTACGTCGCGGCCCCGCCCTACGTCGCGGCCCCGCCCTGCGTCGCGGCCCCGCCCCTCGAAGCGGCCATGCCCTACGTCGCGGCCCCGCCCCGACCGTCGCGGCCCCGCCCCTCGTCGCGGCCCCGCCCCTTGTCGCGGCCCCGCCCTCCAACCAGGCCCGTGGTGGGCCCCTTTCACCACACCGCCTCCCCCCCCCCCCCCCCCTCCCCCTGCCATTTCCCGTCGTCCGTCGAGGCGACCTGAGGGGGCCGCTTGCGAGCTGTGGGGTGGCGGGTATGGGGGTGCTCTGTGTGCCTTCCTCCCTTTGCTCCTCCTCCTCCTTCGTCTCCCACTGCTGCAGCTGTCGCTGAGGGGGGTGGTTGTGTGGGAGACTCGGGTTTAGGGTTTAAGGGGGGTGCGTGGGAGTGCAGCTAGCGGTGTAGCAGTGGGTGTGCATCAGGGGGGTGGGACTGTGTGCGGGAGGTTGAGTGGAGGTTGTCAGTTTGTCGTTCGCAGCACCTGTGGTCCGGGGCGCTGTCCCGGTAGCCCAGTCGTAGCCAGCTGTGCCAGCCGCCCGTGGGTCCGTTGCCCGTCCGCCGCTATTTGAGCCGCGGGGCCTGTTACTCCTGTAGTCCGGGCGCTGTCCGGTAGCCGCTGTGCCAGTGTGCCTCCTGTTGCCCGTGTGCCTGCAGCTTCAGCCGTCGCCTCCTATCTCCTCTCCCCTCACTCTCTCTCCTCCTCCTCACTTGCCCGTTGTGACTACCACTAGCTCTGCTCATAATTGTGAACTCTAAACTATCTCTTCTTGAACTTGTGCTCAGAATGTGTGGTGACATTGTGATCCACCCTGAGCTTGTACTACTTTGCCTGCTCTGCTGATTACACCCCACTTTGGCTATGGGGGTGTGTCAGAATATTATTCTTATGTTCTAGCCTGTAGTGGGGTGCTCTATAGCGAGTACAACCCTTCTAGGGTTTGCTATTTGTATCCCCATTTCTGCTAGTTCATTCCCTCTTTCCTTTTTTCTTTCTTCCAACTTTTGTCACACAATCGGCTAGGGCACTTTGGCCCGCTTCGCACACAGCAGCTGCTGCAGACGGGATGGTGGTGGGCAGGGATGCGGAAGGAAGTCAAGGACTGGGTGGCCAAATGCCCAGCGTGCATCAGAAACAGAGCGGCATTCGAGAGGAGTAAGGCGAAGCTGCAGCCTCACGCAGCACCAAGAATCTGCTGCACCCCGGTCACCGTGCTCCCCCACTCCTTCAGCTCCTTGATCTGTGTACGGGCTTTCCTTGCCCGGACCTTTGCAAACAGGTGCTTTGAAGCGATCTCACCAGTCATCTCCTCTTACAACCCAGCCTGTAGGTGTAATCTCTCCCTTCGTGCTTCCTGATACGCTTTCAACTGTAACTCCTTAGTTGCCAGCGCTTCTCGTGTAACATTGCAGCCTGTGTTCCCCATCAACTCCTGCTTCAGCGTCGCAACTCTGCTGACCAGATGAGCCAGTGTCTTCTTAACCCGTTTACTTTCCTCCAGTGCGTACGCCCGTAAACCGGCTCCCAGACGAGCAATCAGGAGTTCAAAGCTGCTGCCGTCATTTACAGGCGTTCTCCGGACTGTAGCATCAATAATCTTCCGCACCCCCGGCCTCCGTACCATTGAGGCATGCAACCTCCAGATGCCCAGACCCGTGCAGATTTTCTCATCCAGACGAAAAGCAACTTGGATCGCGAAGCCATGATCCGAGATAGGCTCCTTCGGCATGTCATGCGTGGCGATAGAGAGGTGAGTTAGTAGCGATTGTGAGACAAGTGCGCGGTCAATGCGAGTGCTACAACGATGCGAGTGCGCGTAGAAGGTGTATTCTCTGTCTCTTGGGTGCAGAGTGTGAAAAGCATCAGATAGTTGGAAGTTGGTGCAGCGCAGGAGGAGCTTCTCATTTTCAGTCGACGAGCCTGAGCCTAAAGACCTGTCCAGCTTTGGATCGTCCGTCAGGTTCAGATCGCCGATGATAAGAAGGTGAGAGGAAGGCGAGGTTGTGTCAATGACTGGTCCAAGAGCGTCTTTGATAAAAACGGAGCGAGGTGTAATGTGCGATGGGAGGTAAACGGCTACTAGTGTGAGATCCAGTCCAGTACCCTTGACTACTATCTTAAATATTCTACCCGAAGGGTGAAGCTCCGTGTCATGGAAGGTGATACTGTCGTCACTACAGAGGACCACTACGCCACCAGCACTGGCTCTAAGAGGGTTAGCTAAGACTGCGTACGAGGTGAGTCCCAACAAAAAAGAGTGTCTGTCGTCTATCCCAGTGTCTATCAGTACTGCGATGTCCGCTGAATCTTTCATCCACTTGGTAAACCGCTCCTGTTTAGATCTATTTGTTCCTAAGCCGTTGACGTTCAGGCTCGCGATTGTAAGGTGGTTTTTGTTAATCATTGATCCGCTGCCTTGCAGCCCCTGATCATCCACAGGCTCAGAAATGAGACGGTACAGGCAACACTGACTCCCAAACACCAACATGCCGTTGCATCAAGATACCACTCATAATCCGTCACAGTCCGTACTGTGTGCGGACAACAGCAAGATTCAGCTTGTCGAGGGACTCCTTCGTTGTTGATCCGGCTTTCTCCAGCTCCAGCAGGTGAGTAGCTGCTTTGATGTGAGCCGCCGCTGCCATGAGACTTTTTCCTTTCGCTTTTCCGCACCCGGCCTGTGTGCAGATCCAATCTTCTATGATGTTGCCGGTGGAGACGAGAGCGATGGCTGAGTCCCGAAGAATGGGAAGGAAGAGAGATGACGCTTTCAGCCACGCAGCTGCGGGGATCAAAGAACAGGTCAGTAGCAGAAAAAGAGTGAAGATGCAGGGAGCGTAAGAGAAGCAAACTGTTTTTACCGTTGAGCCTGTGCACACCCCCAAGAGTACGGTTCCATTTACTAACGCTATTTTGACGCTCAGTGATAAAAGCATCATGATACTTATCATTGTGCTTGCCACCACAGAGCGTGCAGGATAAGGTTGCGTAATGGATAAAGAGCTGCTTCGACCGATCCGCAAGATCAGCAATGGCGTGGATCCAGCGGCGGTTACGACTCTCAGGGTGAGCATACACCAGACCCTTCACGACATCCGTGTCAGCACCAGTAACCGAGTGAAGCACGCGATGAAGGCAGGAGCAGCGCTGAAAGGCCGACCGCTGAGTACTCTTCATCGGGTAAGAAGCAAGGCGGTCATGAATCAGGATGAGATCGACCGCAGCTGAGACCCCCTTGATCATAAATTCGATGGCGTGCGGATTCATCGCCTTCTCGCGGGTGAAAACAGGATCATCCGTGTGCTGCCAGTGAAGAGTGACCAGCTGCCCCTTAAGAGACTGGTAAATCACTTCTTTCTGACGAACTCGTGCTGCGTCTGACTCCAATGTGAATGAAACTTGCAGGCGACAGTATCGCATCTTGGCAATGTAAGCCGTCTGAAGTTCCTGAAACTTGGTCGTCTTGACAACATCAGCTGACAACTCTGAAATCCACCCGTGCTTTATCAGGGCTTTTACAGCATCGATCACGCACGAAATCTCTTTAACCAGCATAAATGGAATTAGCAGAATGGCAACCGAGCGCAAACGGGATCCAGCCTCCTTAACCAGGTCAATCAGCATCTCATCATCCGAGTCGTCATCCATGAAGCCGTCGTCATCAGCAACACCAAAGGACGGAATCGTAGCTTTGTCGCTTGCAGATAGGCCAGAACCACTGGCCGCCGAAGCTGATACGCTGTCATTGTCATTGATTGCAGGCACTGAAGTCTTCGTGGAGCCAGCAGCACTTTCTGTAGGAGGGTCAGTCAATGGGTCAAGAGCCTCCGTGCTAGGAGGAGGATCAAGAGCCGGCCGAGAACGTTGACCCTTAGGAAGAACAGGGACATCAGCCGGGTGAGACATTGTGCAATGATGAAAAAGGTCAGGCTGAAGGAGAGTGTGCCAAGCACACTTGATGACCAGGAAGAATAATGCATGGAAACTGAGCACATAGCCTTGAAATAGATTCCTGACCCTGTCAGGTTCCAGTGGACCATAGAGCTGGTAATCTCGAAGTAGTTCATGATGTAATGTCGAGACTTCAACCTTGAGAGTTGTATCCTTAATAAAAACAGCGACATTGTTGTTAACTGTACCGTCAGCCCCCGGATAGAAGCGCCCCTGGGGCTATAAAAAAACACTGTTTGTTGGGGGGTGCGCTTATAATTGAGGAATTTTATAAGCGCCGGCGCTTATAAAATGGTAAAAAGAATATATATTTGTTTTACACCAAACTGTATATCTCGTTCTGCCGATTGTAATCGAGTCGAAAACATATAGGGTCGCGAATCTGATTCTCGCGCAGCTTGGCAGGGAGTGATTCCCTGCCAGCTCACCCTGACAAAATTACAGCACATGCTGACTAGACGCGCAAAAAGTGAGTTCAGAGTGTGGGAAATCGAAATTGTTAGTTCGTTTCCCTGATTATGCGAAACTCGTTTCTGAAATTCGGAAGGTTTCCAAATGAAAAAACAAACATGCGCTTATAATATATCATCTTTTTCTAGGGGGTGCGCTTATAATCGAGGACCGGATATAAGCGCCCTCATCCTTTTATAAGCGCCGGCGCTTATCCGAGGCCTGCGCTTCTATCCGGGGGCATACGGTATAAGATTTGCTTGGCAATGAATCTTGACGCGAGGTATGTAATCCCGAGATTGCCTGACAGAAACCGAGGCTTGATGCCTTATAACAGGAGTAACCAAGGTCAGCAGAAATGGCTGGTTGTCCAATGTTAAGTTTAAAGGCATTGTTCTGGAAAGCTACGGAATAGTGACGGCATGATAACGAGGATGTTAACCGTGCTACGCGTGAAGAAATCCATGGCCGCCCTAAGGCGGAAGAGGCGCAGAGCAACATTCTATCCATCGGCTTTCGGTACGTGTATGCGGCTCTCCTCCTGCCTGACACTCCTGAGCCTACGCCTAACGCTGTCTTGATCTAGCTGAACTGAATAATGTAAGCAGGTAACAATGTTGTAAACAAGACGGAATTCTCCGTGTACCGACCGAGACGAACCGAAACATAAATGTAACTGATCAAACCCCACATTCCCTTCAGCTGGCTTCATTGCAAAATGCTGGGTTGCGACTCGCGAGGTGAACGACAGAAATCAGCAAACATCACCGCGTACGACGCTGAATGAAGGGCCCTAATTGGTTTATGGCATGTGTGCGAAGTCCCAAACCCAAAACTCGTCCGTACGTAACAGCTTAACTTCAGCAGTTCGTCTAAGTCGTCTGTTTTGTCTGTTTTCGGTTGCGGCTCGGCCTCATTTCGGCCCTCCGCGGCTCGCAGAAACCGCAGGTCAATTGAAAATCCGCGTCTCGTTCTTACACCCGACCCGACGGATTGAAAGCTCAAAATCTGCGCTTCATCCCGCCAGTTTCTCATCCATCTCATCTGCTAGTCTGACACGCCAGGGCGAAGTTCTCTGCTGTCATCTCGACCCACTCGCACCCGCGCTTCTCACTGGCACCGCCTGAGGCCCCCGCCAGCATTGCCCGCACGAACAAAATGAAGAAATCAGAGTTCAGCTGTCGACTGAGCCTGTTTCTTTCCCTGCTTCTGTGCGTCACCAGGGCACGAGCTCAAACCGACAGCATCGCCAATAACAGCGATATCAACCTGAATGAAGTCGTTACCAATCCCGGCGAAGTCCCTGGCTTCGTTGCGAACCCGAATCTCACCGTCAACCCCGACGTTGGAGATCCTGCTGTCAATTCCCCTAACGGCGACGTGTCTAATACCAGCCCTGGCGACGGTGTCAATGATTCGGTGACGGGACCCTCGCAGACGTCCCCAAACGAGCCCCAGCCGGCAGACGGTAGCGGAGATTCTAACGGGACGCCGGGGTCTGACGGAAACGGAGCTCCTGACGGAACGTCGACGGACTCCGTCCGTCAGAGGCGCAGCCCAAACAGCAGGTGCCGCGGGTGCCCTCTCTTCCCGTGCCAAGCCGGGTCGCACCGTAACGGCCGATTCGACACGTCGATCGATCCTAGGTACTCCGTCGTTCTCACCGGAGAGAACTCCTCCAACGATGGCCGCCGCAGCGATGACAGAAACATCATGGAGTGCTGGCGCGAGTGCAAGAACCGCAACCAGAGGCGTGGCATGGCCCGCGCGGTGAGCCCTATAGTCTACTGGCAGTACGAGCCCTTCACCGACGCCACCACCGGAGGTACGCGCTTCCAGAGCCTTCCCGAAACGCCCGTCGCTTAGCAATCCAGCTGCCGCCATCCGGAAGCGTCTCACACAATTCTAGATATTCCTGAGGTTCAGCGGAGCACAGCGACGAAGGAACTAGTGAATCTATCCCGGAAACTCCTAGACAATGATATCCGATTCGAAATGCGGATGTGAGATGGCGAAGACTCATCCCAGTTTCTGCGGCTCCACCGACTGTGATGACGTTGAACCCCTTCTCTCCCCGCCGATTTGTTCGCGTCGCGTATTTCATGTTCTTCCCGTGGCGGAACCCTGCTTTCGGAACGAGGTGTTGATCATTGCGTTGTTGTGGGACGTTCTTCTTGCTTCTGTTTCCTGCAGGACTCTGCAGCTGCTTCGGCGCCGCTGCGTGCAATGGCCGCCGGTTCGTGCACCCGTCAGAAGACGACAGCAACCTGCCGGCCGTCAACTTTGTCGGCAAAATCTGCCCGGCGAACGGAACCGGAGATCCGCACTTTGTCGGCGCTGACGGATCGCGGTTCGATTTCAGCGGGCGCCCTGGCGAGGACTACGCGCTGATCTCGGACGTACACGTGGCAGTGAACGCGCACTTCGGGGGGCGGTGGGGCGAATGGGAGGGACGCAACAAGGCGCTGACGTGGATGCGAAAGATATCGATTCTGTGGGGCCACCACTCGATCGTCTTCGAGGCTCGCGAAGGATGGGAGTCTGGTTACAGAAACGGTTACCTCCAACGACTGTCGGTTGACTCGGACGACGTGAAACTTGGCCTGCCCGGTTCGCACCTGGATGTCGCCTCGTTTTTCGACGGGCAGGTTGAGCTGCGATGGGCAGCGGCGAAAAAACCCGCGAAGGGCGAGCTGGTGGACGAGTACGAAGTTCGCATAGGCGACGTGCTGTCGCTCAGGCTGACGCTGCGACCCGAAATCGCAGTGCTTCGCACGGACGACGACGGGGTGGTGCACTTCACGGTGGATGTGCTGAGCGCGAAGCTGTCGCCCAACGTGCACGGCGTGCTGGGTCAGACGTTCCGCCCTGACTTTATCGGACGCCTGTGAGTCGCTTTTTCTGTGTCCCTCTCTTTCCCCCCCCTTTCTTCTTTCCCCACCCCCAACCCCTCTCCCCCATCTCTTCTCTATCCCCTCCCCATTCCCCTTTCTCGTTCCCTCTCTCCACTAACTCTCTCTAGTCTCTCCCTTCTTGAACCCACCATACAAGCATACTCCCTTGCTGGCGCCCTCCACCCTCCCAAGCCCCCCTCCCCTGATTAATGCCCTACAGCTGCCTTCTCAGTCCCTGAGCTCCCCCTCCCTCTCCCTCTCCCTACCTCTCTCTGGATTCTCGTCGCCCCCATGACCGCCCGCCACATCTCCCCATGTGCTCTCCTTTCCCGCTTTCTTGTTCCAACCGTTATCCCCCTGGTCTAGTCTAATCGCTCTCACTCCCTCACTGCCCAATCTGAATCAATCCCCTCCCCTTACGCCTCTCCCCGTTCTCACACCTTCTCACCCACTCACCCACTCACCCTTCTCTTTGTTCATGCCCGAATCCCTTCCTTCCACACAGAGAGCGGCAGAAGCTGGTGTGGAGCAACCTTTTCAAGACCCAAGTGGTTCCCGGCGACAACGCGGAGGGGTTTATCGACGGGACTGTGGACGACTACAGGTGTACCGATCTCGCGCACTCGGACTGCGTCTTTTGTCGCTTTGTGCGCTCGGAAACGCTGGACAACGAAACTGCCTCTGCTATAGAGCTGGCTGCTGGCGTTTCGTCCTCTTATAGTGACAACGGCCGCACCTACCCACGGAAGGCACTAGTAGGAGCTTTCTAAAGCAGGAAAAATAAAGGGTGTTTGAGGGTTGGCTCTGCTGTGTAAATAGCCCATGCGAATGGTCACTGCGCTGTGTAAGCTGATGATTCTCTCTCTAGCACTTTCCCTTCAGGTTGCCCTCTCAGGAAACCTGATCAGCATGAAAATCCGGATGTATGGTGTCTTTCTAGGTGCATGTAGTACTTGCACTACTGGTGCCATGCCATACCATCAAATATTGAGGACTCAAGAGCCATGGTGATCTGTGGCCGTGTGCTCAGCGAACATACGGACCATCAGCTTTTGAAATTGAAGAATCCTGAGCAACTACCGTACTATATGTACATTCTTGAGTCGGCATGCAATGCAGCAATGGAAACGCAAGCAGACCAAGAGTGCATGGTGTCACCACATTGCACACCTGGATCCGTGAAACCATGTTCTTTGCAATCATGTTCTCCCCATTGATGGAGAGCAGACTTGTTGATTCATCCTCTCATTGCTCTCATGCTCTCCCCGTTGTATTCCCCAACATCCTGTTCAGCAGGCCCGCATGTGCTAGCCACCCAGCTTCGCAGCAGCGACAGCAAATTATGGTACTAACGGTACTCTCGCGTGTAGATTTTATTGTGTTCAAAAAACTGCCTCGAGTCAAAAGCCCAGCCCATTATCCATCCAGCCAGACTCAACCGAGTGCCTTCGCATCTGCTGATAACAGTGACCGTTTTATCTCCAGTCACCACCAGCTGATTGCCGTCTCAGAATCTGCCCAGGAGAGGTAGCGCCGTGGAAAGACACACCAGCAGGAGCCATCACAGCAGCATCACCTGGGGAAAACAAGCCCAGCCTTTCGCTGCTGCCGTTCTTCTGTAAGAAGAGTGTACAGGCGCCAGAAGCAGGGCAGCTGCTGCTGGGGTTCCGAGTCTCCTGAAGGGACGGCTGTGTGACATCGAAGGGCTTGATTTGGCTAGCAGAGTGGGCAGACCGATGACCGGTTTGCTCAGCAGGGTGAGACGAGCATGCAAGGCTGGCTGACAACGAGAGTGGGGGTTTGGTGCCAGTTGAACCACGTCCGGAATGCTCAGCAGGGAAGGAGGAAAACTGAGGGCCGGCCGACATAAGGAATGGCGTTTCACTGCCAGTCGAGCGCTGCCTGGAATGCTCTGCAGGGGCAGACGAACACAAACGGGCCGCTGACGACTGGAATGCAGTCTCACTGCCGATTGAGCAACGCCTGGTTCGCTCAGCAGGCAAGGAGGAGCAAGGAAGAGCAGTCAACGATGAGGTTGGGATTGCACTATCACTGCTGGTTGAGCGACGGCTTATGCGCTCGCGAGGAAAAGAGCAGGGCGTGCCGTGTCGCGTGCCCAACACGAGCCGCCTCTGCGACAGCCACAGCACGTCCTCCATGTCTTTAAACGTCTCCTCGTCCTCTTCTTCGCCATCCGAATCAAGCTCCCGGCTCCTGTTCAACCCGGTCACATAACGACCAGCCTTGGTGGTGCTCTTGTTCAAACCAGTCACCGTGGCTGACGAATCAGAATCAAGCAGATGCCTTTCTGTTGACTCGGCCGCATCGCAACTTTGCGGGTGTTGGAGGGAAGATTGCTGGCAGACAATTCGGCGACATCGGGTTCCCGCAATTTGCCAACAGTGTTTTTTTCTAACTGCCCACCGACTTCGAGTTGATTCTGATCGCGCGCAGTTACCGAAATCGTGGTTGGAGTTGTCACCAAAATGTTTTCGGGAAAACAACCAGAAACACAGGCATTCAAGTGCTCGGTGAAGCGTGGTTCGACGGGTTTCCGACATATTTTCATACCCGGCAAAAACTTTTAACGTTTTGTCCAGGACCAAGTGGGTCTTAACATAATGTACACTACATAATGAGTTGTATGAAACATTTAATTTATCAAGCCTGCACGTTGTTGCATACCGTTACATTGTTGGCAAAATCAATATTAAAGATATTATGTTATTGTTTTGAGTATTTTTTATATTGGTAACAAATTATTGGCTTATGAATGGTTGTTTTAATAAACAGCTGTTTTACTATTTTGAACATGTTACTATATTTTACTGTAGGCATCTCTCTTAACCGTGCAGTATCACGATTTCCCAACAAGCTAACTCACGATTTCCTGAATTGCTTTGCTGTGTCAGCAAAGATTTACAAGATGGTAGAACAGCATACATTTTACCAATCACCACTCTTGCTCGAGTGGACTCAGCTCGATGAGTGCTGATGTGTGTGCTTCGGAGCGGCACCCAATCGCTGAAATTGAGCATCGAGCCAATGGATGAGGGTGTGCGCTGTACTAGCATCCAGCCTGGCTTCGCCACATCCCCCCCACAATTTACAGCATCCAGCCTGGCATGGCCCGGAAAATCTGATTTGCTGCCGTTTTTCCCCGGACTGTACATTGTGAAAGAGAGAACGAGAAATGAAATGACTATGAAAGAAGTGAGTACAAATAGGAAACCCTAATTGGGTTGTACCCCCTATGGGATACCCCACTATAGCCTACACAATAGTATAAGCTATATAGTTCTGACACACCCCCATAGGCAAAGTGGGGGAGAACAAGGGGTCACAAGACCAGTCAAGCAAAGCAAAGCAAAGCTCAGGGTGGATCACAAAGTCACCACACATTCCGAGCACAAGTTCAAGGCCACATGGCCAGTTCACATGCAAGATCATATATAGAGATATACAAGAGTCAAGTAAGCAAGAGCAAGAGTATATATAGGCGAAGGTACAAGCAAGGTCAAGAGGAGAGCAAGTGAGGCAAGACAGGCACAAGACCCAACTGCGTGCAACAACGCTGATGATCACAAGGCGCAAGTGCCTTGGTGAAGACATCAGCAGTGTTGGCCTCAGAGGCCACGTACGCAAGTCGCAACTGTCCACGCTGCTGTAGCTCACGAGCAAGAAAGTAGCGGAGAGCAATGTGCTTCGTTCTGTGCTCCAGTCTCTGCTCTCGACACAAGGCCAGCATGGCCTTGTTGTCTACGTACAGGACTGGAGGAGAACGAGGCTGCTCTCCAAGGTCGGTCAACAGGTAGGTGAGCCAGCGTAACTCCTGTGCAGCCATAGCCCCGGCGTAGATCTCAGCCTCACAACTGGAGCCGAGAACAGAAGACGAGCGGGTAGCCCGCCACGAAACAGAGCCGGAACCAAGGCTGAAGGTGTAACCCTGTGACGACCGCTGCGTAGCCTGGTCGTCAGCCCAAGAAGCGTCCGCGTGCCCAGTGAGGACCACTGGACTGCGCCCTCCAAGCACTAGCCCCATGCCCGACGTACTGCACAAGTAGCGCAACACCCTCTTCGCTGCAGCCATGTGCTCTGGTCGGTGTCTCCCAGGAGCAACATAGCGTGCGAGAATGCTAAGAGGGTATGCAAGGTCAGGTCGTGTGCAGGTCATCAGGTACATGAGGCAGCCAACAAGCTCTGCATACGGGCCACTCGACTCTACGGACTCATCCGAAGGCAGAGCTGAGAGCGAGTGGCGAGTAGGCAGAGGAGTGGCCTGAGGCGAGGAGTACGTGAAGCCGAAGCGCTGAAGGACCTGCTGCACCATGTGTGACTGAGTCAGGGTAATGGTGCGGCGTGCTCTGTCCCGGGTGATCTGCAAGCCAAGATAGCTGCGCAGTTCACCCAGGTCAGTGCACGTGTGTCTCTTCTGCAGCTCGGACTTCACGTAGGCGAGTCCAGCAGTGTCAGCTGTGGCAAAGACCAAGTCGTCGACGTACACGAGGATGTAGAACGGCGGCAGAGAGGTGTCGGTGCGCAGAAACAGTGACGGGTCGGCAGTAGAAGGAGCAAACCCAAGTGCCGCGAGCGTAGTCCTCAGTGTGTCGTGCCACTCACGTGGCGCCTGGCGGAGACCGTAGACTGGACGCCGGAGACTCCACTGGGTACCAGGAGGGAAAGACCCAGTGAAGCCAGGTGGGCGACGCAGCCAGATCTCCTCGTGCAGGCTGCCCTGCAAGAAAGCTGTGCTGAAGTCGAGAGAGTGCAGCTCGTAGTCACGGTGAGCAGCAACGTGCAGCAGGACCCGAAGAGTGGTCATCTTCGGGGTGGGGGAGAAGGTCTGAAAGTAGTCAACCCCCTGCCGCTGACTGAAGCCACGAGCCACGTAACGCGCCTTGAAGACAGGCGGAGAACCCGGCGGCCGCTTCACCCTGAAAATCCACATGCCACTGACGATGTTCGCCCCAGGGGGGGGAACAGCGTCAACGTAGGTGCCTGTGGACTTCCAGGAAGCCATCTCTGCATCCATAGCTGCCTGCCACTGAGAGGAGTAGGGACCCTCTATCGCCTCCGCGTAAGAGCGCGGAGTCGGGATGTCTGGTGCATCCGGGTCTCCCTCAGGGGCTAGCAGTACAGACGCGAGACGAGGTGAAGCGGCGGCCAGACACTGGAACTCCTCCTGCCTGTCCTCAAGGACGTCCGTGCCAAGGGCACACTCACCCCCGACGGACGGAGGACAGGCGGACTCAGACTCAGTGACAAGACGGGCAGCGTAGTCTAGACGACAGCGCGCAGCAAAGTCGACAAGCTCAGTGACAAGGGCAGACGCAGCAGACGACTCGAAGGAAGGGTCAGTGACAGCTGTAGCAAGGAGACGCGTGACAGTAGGACTGGCAGCACGAAGGGAGTCCGACTCCGGGTCGGCAAGAGCAGGAAGAGAGGAAGCAGGAGGAGAAGGCAAAGGGGCACGCAGAGGAGCAGTGGACGGACGCAGTGACATCCGGTGCGTGCCAGGGACAGGAGGAGGGCGCTGACGCGACCCGCGACCACTAGCGCGCTCAGTACGAACAGGCGACACAGGACGAGACGCAGGCTCACGACGCTCAGTAAGACCTCCAGTCGGACCAGTGTAGGGAGACGGAGCAGGCAAAGGGGAGGCAGGCTGTAGCTGTGGCTGTGACCGGACAGGCTGCGGACCCTCTAAGGGAGGAGGAGGAGGAGGCGGAAGACCAAGAACCTGCTGCAGGAGCGGAGCGAAGTAAGGTCG